GCTCAGAGCAAAGCATTATGTGCTTAGAGGCTGGGAATCCGGTGGTACAGAAGTGCCCCAGGTGACCCAAGTCCATGTGCCAAACCATGCAGTTCTCTTCCCTGTTCTCTGGCATTGGGTTTCACCATCAGGAAAATGGGGGATTGGGCTCTGATGGCCTCCAAGTTTGTTCCCTCACTCTGGATATCTGTGATAAGGGTCAATTGCAACCCATTCATGATCTTGCCACCTCCCCTCCACACACCCCAAAGAAACAAGGAAATCTGTGTTCTGAAAGATTCTCCAAGTATCTGTTGTATAATCTCATGGACTGTCTTTGGAGTCTCAAGGATTTCATATACAAGTGCATCTGTTGTGTTTGGGATGCCAGACACTAAAGATGCTGGCTGTCAGCAAGTCTCAAAAGCCACTTCCTTCTCATGGAGGATCTTGTCTGATGACCCATGGTTAAGAGCAGGGATTTTGGAGTCGGACTCCCTGTGATAAGCTGAAGGAGTCCTTCTCCTTCTCACTGTGTAAGCTTGAGCAAGCTGTTTAACTTTTCTGGACATCAGTTTTCTTGTCTGAAATACAGAGAGCATGGAAAGGATAACGTTGCTAGAGGAAGGCAGTGAGCTAGTAGATACACTGAGAACATAAGAAATACTATGTGAAAAGGAGCTGTCATTACTGTTCTGACGGATGAGTCCAACACTCCTTGAGCAAAAATGGTAAACTGATGGCAGGCACCACAGGGGCTGAGACTTGGTTAAAGGATTTTGCAGGAGAGCATTAATACAGTGCTTTACCATGACCATGGAAAGGAGAAACCCTGAACTAAGAGCCCAGGAGACTCATCTCTAATTCTGGCTTTATGCCAAATCACTGGTGCTCTCAGTCAAATCAATCCAGCTCTCTGGGTTCAATTAAGTTAGGATTAGTTTCATCTCAACGTGGCACTGTGAGAATCTGGTGAGGTCATATAAATGTCATTACTTGGGAAGGTAGGACAAGATTCACACATGTGCGCTCCTCTTGTGAAGTTTGCAATGGCAGAGAGGATGGATAATCTAAGCACCCCATCCGCCTCAACTTGCTGACAGTAATGACACCACAAGGTGTGGATGGTTCACCATCGCTTCCAGGGCAAAGGAAGGAAATGCAGATTTGATGCAGTTTTACCAGCATTCTTCTTCTTTTGGGAAAGTACAAGTTCATGGGAAAATAGAAATTTGAAATTCATGCATATGTGCCATCTTCAAAATGTTCATGGAAAAATGATAATGAAAAAGACTGTGCATAGATTTCAAAATTTGTCTGGGTTTCCTCCCATCTCTCTGGCCTGCACCAGCAACCCCAGGGAGGATAGAATCAGACTTCTAGGATCACTGTATTTGGTAGTCAGAGGAGATACAGTCTGAGGACCTTTTCCCATGCCATTTTCCTTTTATTTTATTTGAAAGGCAGAGAGACGGAAAGACAGATCTTCCATTCCCTGGTTCACTCACTCAAATACCCACAACAGCCAGTGTTGGGCTGGATTAGGTGAAGCCAGAAGCCAGAAACTCAATCCAGGTCTCTCATAGGGGTGGTAGGGACCCAAGTACTTGAGTCATCATTGGCTGCCTAGCAGGGTTCACATTAGCAGGAAGCAGCACTGGACTTGAACGCAGGCACTCCCATAGGCAATACATCCCCAGAAGCTTCTGAACTGCTCAATCAAATGCCCATCCAACACTTTTTCTTTTTCATTTCAACTTGGACTCTGATTTGTAAAATCACTTGGTACTCAGTCTTCATCCTGCACAAATCAATCAAAATGCCTTCAGTTTGTCTTTTCCAACAAAGACTCTGTGCTAAAGTTTAACTTAACTGTGAACTCGAACATTAGAGAAAAGGAATTGCACAGAAGCTGCTTTGCAGGTGGTCTTCTGCAGTACCTAATTGTTCAGAGCTGGTATTGAGCTTCCTCTTCAGACCATGTTGAAATTAGAGCTCTAAGAAATGGAAATGCAGGAGAAACTCAAGCTTGATCTCAGAGACTATAGCTTTAGCTCTATAGAGATTAAGCATGGGCATAAGAAAAGCTAATTGAAAAGATAGATCACAGCATTACAGCAGCAAGGTGGTAAGCAAAGTTGATTACCACAAAGTTGCCACCACCATTTCCATTCTAGTTGTCTCTTGTTCTTCAAACTCTGAGTTCCCAGGAAAAGCTAAGCTAGCATCAGATCCTAGGATGAATATGATGGAGCCAGGACAAGAGGAAATACATAGTTCCTTGTAGGCCCACATGTAGGAAGTTCCAAAGGAATGGTTCAAGTTGCACCTTCTAGAAAGTCCTGTGTCAGATCCAGCCCTGGCAGTGAGAGAAACTAAAAGCAGGTCACTCATTATCTCTAATGTACCTTGAAGAATCAGGGGATTTGGCAAACTGGACCAGCATTGGGGCACTTCATGAGGCAGAGCAGTCACCACCCTCTAGAAGCACAGGACTTTGCAGGTCTCACAGTTTGCACTACCTCCTAACGTCCTCACCTGTGCTTTGACTCACTCTTCCTCATTCACCTTACATGTCTGGTGCCTGTGGCCATTCTGAGCTCCAGAATCTTCTCTTTTGGCTCAGAAGACAGAATTAGCAGTGAGCTGGATAAGATCTTATGGACAGGTAGGACTTGCTGTTGTTACTGAGGTCTAGACCAGAGCTTGGTAGGCAGGAGAAGATTTTTTAATAAAAGTTGGAGTCAGAATACACCCAGGAGGCAGTAGAGACCTCCAGCCTTGGCTTAGGGTGCAGGTTGAGAAGTGATGGACATCAAGAACACAAATGCATACCGTGGAAGATTCTAGATGCCAGGTGAATTTAATGTGATGACAACAGAGATGTGCCAAAGGCCTTTTGAGGTCAAGACCACCATGAGGAAAATAATTTTAGGAAGACTGTACAGGTAATACACATGATAGGGTAGAAGGAAAGGAGACCAGATGCAGCAATGTTGGTTTGCAGCAGGGGTACAGAACGTCTGGCCCACAAGCCATATAAGGCTCATGAAATCATTTGGTCTGGCCCTTCTATTGCAACTGTAAACAGGACTTAAAATTCAGTACATCTACAGCAGGCCAGTTTTTGATTTTTTTTTTTTAGGAAGTCATTACCTATCAATAACTATTTTTTTTAACTTTTATTTAATGAATATAAATTTCCAAAGTACAGCTTATGGATTACAATGGCTTCCCCCCCATATCATCTCTCCCACCCGCATCCCTCCCCTTTCCCTCTCCCTCTCCCCTTCCATTCACATCAAGATTCATTTTCGATTCTCTTTATATACAGAAGATCAGTTTAGCATACATTAAGTAAAGATTTCAACAGTTTGCTCCCACACAAACATAAAGTGAAAAATAATAGATGATTTTTTAAATGATGATGAAATCAGATCAGACCTATTGTCATGTTTAATCCCAGTGAGAGTCAAGTTGGGAATTGATAATTTCTTCTTTTTTTTTTTTTTTTACAAAAGATCAGTTTAGTATACATTAAGTAAAGATTTTAACAGTTTGCACCCCCATAGAAACACAAAGCAAAATATACTGTTTGAGTACTCATTATAGCATTAAGTCTCAATGTACAGCACATTAAGGACAGAGATCCTACATGAGGAGTAAGTGCACAGTGACTCCTGTTGTTGACTTAACAATTTGACACTCTTGTTTATGGTGTCAGTAATCTCCCTAGGCTCTAGTCATGAGTTTCCAAGGCTATGGAAGCCTTTTAGGTTCACCAACTTCAATCTTATTCTGACAGGGTCATAGTCAAAGTGGAAGTTCTCTCCTCCTTTCAGAGAAAGGTACCTCCTTCTTTGATGGCCCCGTTCTTTCTACTGGGATCTCACAGAGATCTTTCATTTAGGTCTTCTTTTTTTTTTTCCCAGAGTGTTTTGGCTTTCCATGCCTAAAATACTCTCATGGGCTCTTCAGCCAGATCCGACTGCCTTATGGGCTGATTCTGAGGCCAGAGTGCTATTTAGGACATCTGCCATTCTATGAGTCTACTGTGTATCCCGCTTCCCATGTTGGATCGTTCTCTCCCTTTTTGATTCTATGAGTTAGTATTAGCAGACACTAGTCTTGTTTGTGTGATCCCTTTGACTCTTAGACCTATCAGTGTGATGAATTGTGAACTGAAATTGATCACTTGGACTGGTGAGATGGCATTGGTACATGCCACCTTGATGAGATTAAATTGGAGTCCCCTGGTATGTTTCTAACTCCACCATTTGGGGCAAGTCCAGTTGAGCATGTCCCGAATTGCACATCTCTTCCCTCTCTTAGTCCCACTCTTATATTTAACAGGGATCACTTTTCAGTTAAAATTTAAACACCTAAGAATAATTGTGTGTTAATTACAGAGTTCAACCAATAGTACTAGAACAAAAATATACTAAAATGGATAAAGTATTACATTGTACATCAACAGCGACAACTAACTGAGCACCAAAGGGGAAACCTGTTGAAGTGAAATGGACGCTATGAGAAACAGTGACTCGATCAGCTCTTGTCCTGACTGTTGATGTACACTGTAATACTTTATCCAGTTTTTAATTTGATGATAATATGTGGCCCAAAAATCACCTCAAAAATATCCAAATAGCCCTTGGCCAAAGAAAGCCTCTCACCCTGCTTTAGAGCCTTGCACAGAACTCCAAGATGCAAGCTGGAGTGTCTGAGTATGGCTGACAACAGCAGAAATGGGCAGGCGGGTGGGTGAGCAGTGTGGAGATGAGGGGGAGACCCTGGAAGCGAAGAATTGCCAGAACCTGGCAGCTTATAGACACATGGGTTCCAGCAACAAGAAGTAATCAAATCAGAGTCGACGATGGACAGGCCTGTGAGAGAATGAAACGTGCAAGACTGCAGGGAAGACTGCACCATCCTGTGCCAGACATGCGAAGAGTCTGCTGGCAGGGCCTTCTTTCCCCATCCCTTCAGGAGAAACTCTGACTCAGGCCTTTATTTTCCAGGAAAAAGATGTGACTCCTGATAAACACTTACTTACCAAGGTGCGAGATGCTGCCCTGTGGCTGGAGACCTTGTCAAACACCAGACCTGCCAAGCCTTCCTTCTCTACCGCTTCCTCCATTGCCGACTTCTTCCTTGCCCTAACTATCTGCAATTCCGTCATGGTGTCCACAACCACGGAACCCAGGCAGAGGGTAAGGACCCGTGATGATTTAGGGCACGGGGTGAGGTTAAAGGAAAAGAAGAAGGCAGCACAGGGATGAGGGGAAAAGCCTTGATCAGAGAGAGATGACATTTAGGCCCCAGCCACAGTGTTACCATTTCATCCTTGTGAGACCCTGAGTAGGTGTCCTGTCCTTTCTAGATCTGTTTCCTATTTTGAAATAAAATGGGAAAAAATTATAGTTGAGCTCCCTGGAGCTCTCAAACCTTGCCTCTGTGTCTCCAGGAGACCTAATAAGAGTCCATATTTACTGAGTACTTGGCTATGTGCTAGGCACCATACCCAACACTAGACCTGCATTATCATTTATCCTTACAACCCAACAGCTCTAGGGACAATGTCTTTGGATTCAGTAAGGGAAAAAATGGTGGCTCAAAAAGCTTGATTATTTAGCAAAGGGGACATGGTTCATAACAACAGAACCATCTGTGTGACTCCATACTGCCTCCAAGCAATGCCATACAGATTGGTTCTTTTCTGTAAGGGTTAAAAAATAATTAACACAGTGTATGATGTTCTCCCCATGAAAGCAATGCAGCTTGATGGTCCTTATGTGAAGTTAAACTCTGAAATCTACTCAAGGGAGATTTATCTTCAATTATCCAGACTCTGAGCCAAGCTCCCTTGTGAGTCATCGATGAGAATAATTAGGTAGTACAACTTGTAGCTACAAAACCAAGGAAAAAGAATTCACCAGGTACTCAAAGAGAACCTCCCCTTACTGTGCCCAAATCCAAACCACCCTGGAAAGTCACTTCAGCCACTAAAAAGTCACCAGGTCATCGGAAGGCTTCAGGGAGAAGATAGAGGCAGGAAGCATTATCTGAAGAATTACCTGGGCATAGGGAAGAAGGCCAGCATTGAACTCAGGATTCTCAAGCACGTGAGGGCGCTGTAACCGGTAAATAGATGATGAGCCCGATCCCTAGCGTCAGGCAGAGCCAGATCTGAGTCCCAGTTCTCCTGTCTGCACACTGAGCCCGCACAGCTCATTCACGTAACTGTGGGGCCTCAGCTTCTTTGCTCAGAAGTCAGAATGGTGATAGCATCCCATAAGCTTGTTGGGTGAATGAAATGACATACTGCATGCAAAGCTAAAGCAGATAAAGCTGTGGTAGGGTTTGGGGATTGTGAACTCTTACTGTGGGGTCTGATTTTGATTTTGTTTTTTCCTTTAGCCATGGTCAGAGAGGGATAAGCAAAAGATAGAGGATAAAGAACACAGAGTGTCAGAGCCAGAGGAAAACTTGACTCTGACCTTACTCCCTCATTGTATGAGTGGGTAAATTGAGGTCTGTGAGGAGAGACCTTGTCCATGATCACAGAAGACCGAAATACTGTGCTTACTGCAAAGTTACCTTCATATTCTGCCTTAGACAGTTTGACATTACATCCAACACTGAAAGTCACATTCTGGTTTGTTCCTTTGATCACTAGGTCACCGTGGCACCCTCATCCAAGGCTCTGGGCATGTCCTTGGAGAAGATTCAGCAGCTGTTCCAGAGACTGAAGCTGCTAAGCCTCAGCCAGTCATTCTCATCTACCGCACCCTCCGACACAGACCTGGGTGAGAGTTTGGGGGCCACCGCACCCACCACAGACTCAGATGAGAGAGACGATGCATCTGTGTGCAGTGGAGGCTACTCTACCGATGGTGGCTATAGGAGCAGCGCATGGGACCAGGGTGACATCCTGGGGTCTGGGTCAGGCGCCTCAATGGAGGAGGTGCCAGAGGCTCCAGCTGGAGGCCTGGCCCAGCCTGAACTTTGTTACGAGGCCGAGAGCCCTGACGAGGCAGCCCTGGTGCACGCTGCCCATGCCTACAGCTTCACACTGGTGTCTCGGACACCTGAGCAGGTGACCGTGCGCCTGCCCCAGGGCACCTGTCTCACTTTTGACCTCCTCTGCACCCTGGGCTTCGACTCTGTCAGGAAGAGAATGTCTGTGGTCGTGAGACACCCGTTGACTGGTGAGATCATCATCTACACCAAGGGCGCCGACTCTGTCATCATGGACCTGCTGGAAGACCCAGCCTGCGGTGAGTCCTGTCACACCGGGGCTCCAGGAGTGGGGGGGAGGGAGGTGGCAGGGAGGAGCTCTCATACAGCAGTCCCCACCAGAAGCAGAGGCCCCCCACATGCTCTCCTCAAACTGGGCTGCATCGTAGACCTGCTTGACCTGGAGAATCGCAGTGCCCATCAACGTATTTCAGATGGTGAACGGTCTTGGAGTAGAGAAACCTCTTGAACTTTCTTGACCCTAGTTTGCAAAACTCATTTTAAAATTGAATATCCACAAGCAATTTTTTGTACCAGAACACCCACTAATATCCCTTGGAGCACATTGTGGTCCTAACTCCTCAGATTGGAGAGAAGCCAACTCAAGCTAGCAAGAGAAGCGATTTAGGAGAGGGGAGGTAGCAATCCATTGTCAGTTCCCTGGCCCAGGTACCCTAAATCCCAGCTCACAGCTCTTTCCTGCTGTGTCCCTCTTCATCATCCTTTCCCCAAGCCTCCCCCAGATAGATTTTCATAAACTTGCAATGAGCCAGAAAAATGTCCCCAAGTCCCTACATATCACTGTCCAATTTTGGAGCAGCATGAATTAGTGTGCAGCCGCTTCCTGACTGCTAACAAGGAGAAGACAGTTATGGGACTATGATTCTCCCAGGATAGTAGATTCTAGCCAAGCTTTTGAATTGCCCAGGCAGCCCTGTGCCTCGTGCATTATCAGCTGTGGATCAGGGCCAAGAGGTTCATGGGGACTGATGAGTGTTTAGAATGGGAAGGGAGTTAATTAGTTCTCTTCGTCCCCAGACTCTGGCAGACTAGTGGCTTCATGCCTCTGAGTGTAGGGAGCCATGGCACTGCATCCCCAGGAAGCAGCCAACCAAGCTACCCTGGAGATGTTTCTTTATTTGTTCCCTACCTGACTGCAAACTGTGGCAGAGATGCTTCCAATAAAAGGCACATATGCCTGTGCAATGTACATGTAAAAATTGAGGAGCACAACTTTGAAAGGAAAAGCAAAAATAACTTCATGTTTAATACATTTATGGGGTTGGAACATTGAATTTGACTCTGGGGTTCCTGGCAGCCCAAGCGAAAATATAAACCCAAAGGCTTACAAGTGGAAGACAAAAGGATTGGATCTTAGAAACTGGTGTCTGAAAATAAAATGTTGTAAATAAATAGTGCCCAAGAAGGCAGTGCACAAAGACAGTGCCTGAGGCACCAGGAAATTCAAAGTAACCAAACAAAGAGAAAACAACCTTGGAAAGGATTTTTATATAAAAACAACTTTAAAGTAGTATCATGGATAAAATCAGAGCTCTGGCTAGAACTGCTTATACTAATCCTACTGCTAAGAATTATGCTCTGAGAGCTGGCTTTGTGCTGCAGTGGGTTAAGTCACCACCTGTGAAGCCAGTATCCCACAGGAGCTCTGCTGGTTCAAACCCTAGCTGCTCTACTTTTGATCCAGCTCCCTGCAAAGGAGCCTGGGAAAGCAGCAGACGATGGCCCAGTACTTGGGCCTCTTCTGCTCACATGGGAGACCTGGATGGAGCTCCAGCCTCTTGGCTTTTGTTGCCCAGCCTTAACTGTTGTGGCCAATTCAGAAGTGAACCAGCAGATGGGAGGCATCTCTGTCTCTCTATGTAAGCTTGCCTTTCAAATAAATAAATCTTAAGTGTACATAATAAAAATTCTGCATGACATGCAGGGCTAGGGGAGAGGCACAATTCTTTGCAGTACTTAGGATCTCTAAAAATCTTTTGTTTGTGAATGTGAACCTAAGACAGAGATGGATATCTCCCACGTGCTGCTGATTCACTCCCCAAATACCTGCAACAACGAGACCTACACCAAGCCAAAGCCGGGAGCCATAAACTCAGTCCTCATCTCCCATGTGTGTATCAGGGACCCAATTACTTGAGCCATCCCCTGCTGTCACCTAGGGTGTGCATTAGTAGGACACTGGAATCAGGAGTGGGAGCTAGGAATTGAACTGAGGCAGATGTCAAGGGGTGTCTTAGTCACCATGCCAAATGCCCACCCTCAAAAAATCTTAATCTAACCCTGGGAAAGGAGGATTCTGGAGCCTGGCTCAAGGTCAGCTTTCTGAGCAATGTCATGGAACATGCCTCAGAAAACTGCACATGGATTTAGTAAACACTGCACCACGAAGAACTTCTCTTTGCTTTTTCCATGCACTCTTTGAAGTACCCTTGTATAAAATGCTGCCATTGATAAGTGATGTCTGACAGCTTAGATAAAGGTAGTGCTGATGGCATCAATCCTGCCCCACACCAGCCAACCCGGACTGAAAAATTCCTATTATCTGGTAGATAAAAGTACTAAAATTTCAAGAGAAGATGACAAATTACTTCTGGGAGAAATTTATTATGGAGAGCTCCACAAAGGGGATTATAAGAAATACATGGAAATACCTTTCACACTAGATTTATAGAAAATGCAAACATTTTTTTCTGAGACCATCTCTCGTATGGAAAGTAAGCCTAACTCAGCAAACAATACCGTGAAGAACTTAGCTAATGAGATCTAGCTTTGTAGCTGTCTTGGGGCTTAACTTGATACAAGTTGACAGAGAGGATGATGGAGAGGCTACAACCCAGAGAGCAGTTTTCAAAGTTGGGCTGAACTCACTTCAGAGAAAACACCTTAGGAAACAGCAAGGAGCGCCTGATTCAACAAGGCTCCAATTGGACCGGAACTTCTCTAAGTTCCCACGTGATTCTCATGCAAGTGGGTGTCTGGGAGCAACACCGGAGACCACCCCTGTTCCTTCCGTAGTGTTTTTCTCAGCTAGGATTCTGAGGAGATGTCGAGGGCAGATTTTAAAGCTCCTGGAGTCCTCACCTTCCCGGACAGCCTGCCAGCCAGGAGAGCTAGAAAGGGAGCCCTAGTGTGAAGCACATGGAGTCAGCGGGGGATGGGGACCCCTAAGCGTCCGTACATGGCCTCATGGGGGACAACGACTGTTTGGCAGTGACTGACACCGAGGTGGAGAAGAAGCTGAAGAAAATCCGAGCGCGGACCCAAAGGCACCTGGACATGTATGCGAGAGACGGCCTCCGCACACTGTGCATCGCCAAAAAGGTAAGGACGCGTGCCTCCAGGAGCGCTCAGGGCACCACGAAGTAGCTCAGTAGCCAGGTTTTCGGAGTCCTTGAGTGCTGGTTGTTTGAATATTTTCAAGATCAGCTGTGGTGACTGACTACAGTTTTGCTGGAGTAGAAATCTGAACAGCAAGGTCCCCTATCAGTGTGGCTTTGTCATTTCCCGCTTTTCATTGTGCATGTAATAAGTAAGCCATAACTCAGAAAGTCATGTTTTACGTTTGCCTTCAACCTAGCCTTTTAAATTTCATCCTATTTGCTCAGGCTTCAATTTGGGAATTGGGGGAGGGGGCTTCTATATATATGAAACTTAGATTCCTGGTTTCTCATGAAAACGGGGAGGAACTGAGCCTGCCTTCTCCAGGCAGCCATCAGCTACGTAGGTCAGCTGACTCCCTGGAAGAGGGATACGCTCTGCTCTGCTCTGCTCTGCAGTGGTTCACTGTCCCTCCCCCCTCGTTCCATGACCCCCAGTGCCACTGTAGCCATGTAGATTACCTACCTCATGCTCTGCACAGCTTTGCCGCTGCAGCCTGCATGGGAGAGTCTAGCAAGAAGGGCATCTAATGAGGCACCTGAAGCCCCAGAGAGGTGCTACGGTAGGCACGTATTTCTAGATGACTAGAAGTGGCTTCGCTACCATCAGTGCCCAGGGCTCTTGATCTCTTTCATGGTGCTCAGTGACGTTTACAGATCCATAACAACCACTCTACAGCCAGACCCCCTCGGGACAGTCCCCGTCTCACCACTAACCTCGAGCAAGTTTCTTCTTTCTCAGTGTTATTTGTGAGGTGGCACGAATGTGAGGCAGACGTGGGCCTAGCAGTTAAGGTGCTAGTGGGGATGCTCGCATCCCATATCACAACGCCCGGGTTTGAGTCCCAGCTCTATGCTCAATTCCAGCTTCCTACCGACGGGAGGTGATGGCTCTAGCAACAGAGGGGACCTGTACTGAATTCCTGGCTCCCAGCTTCAGCCTGGCCCAGCCTACTCCTGGCTGTTGGAGGGTTTTGAGGAGTGAATCAGAGGAAAGGAGCAAGCCCCATCTCTGCCTCTCAATTAAAAATAATGCTGATTTCTTTCCTCTCCCTCCCCCCCCCCCAAAAAAAGGTGATAATACTCCATACCTCACACAGTTGTCATGGAAATTAACTGAGATAAGCATACAAAGTGCTTGGGCCCAGTGCTTACTGTGCCCAGCAATTGCCCGGCAATTATACCCTCACCACCTTCAATTTTCCATTGAAGTTACTTGTGGATATCTGGCCTCCCCTAATGGCCTGGGCACTTCTCAGAGGCAAAAAGCCTCTCTGTGTCCCCTCCTGGATTCCCTACAGGGCTACTCAGATGGACTCTAGAACTAGGTGATGCTTGGACAAGAGAGTCATTCAACAGAAGGATCTGAAAGTGCTAGGAGAGCCCAGGGAGGACGAGATGGCCTTCCTTGGTTTCTGCTGGCTCATGGGCACCTCCATGTTTCTGACAGCCGGCCTGGGGGAGTATTCTACAGACAACACAAGATCTGCCTGCTGCTGCCTTTGCTGGCCTCATTTCCAACCCTTGCCATCCTTCTACCAAGTGATGTATCCACGAAGACCAGCTGCATTGCTGTGGCACAGACTCTGCACCTGCCCTTCCCCATGCCTGCCCCTTGCTCATCTGCAGAGCTTAGCTTGCATGTCATCCTCTCACTGACTTGCACATCAAAACCCAGCAGCCCCCTCCCCCATTACCTCCTTACTACTCTGTGACACTCCATGACATCACCTTTTCATTGTGCTCGAAGCACTCCTAGAAATTATTTACTTGAATCATGTTTTACCTTCCAAGCATCCAGGAACGTTGTCTGCCTTACCATCTCCAGTAACCTGAGTCGAGTGGTGACTCAACAGACATCGGATGATTTTGAAACATAAAGATAAATCCTTCACTGATTCATGCATTAAAAAAAAACTGAGTGTTGCAGTGCAGTGGGTTAAGTCACCACCTGTGATACCAGCATGCTATAGGAGCACTGGCTCAACTCCAGGCTGCTCCACTTCTGATCGAGCTCTCTGCTTATGTTCCTGGGAAAGGAGTGGTCCCCTGCCACCCCTGTATGAGACCCAGCTGAGGCTCCTGGCCTGGTGCTGGTCTTGATCCAGCCCCAGTCGGTACAGCAATTTAGGGAGAAAACCAATGGATAGAAGATTTCTCTCTTTCACATAAATAAAAATCTATTTTTAAAAGCCCCATCCAATGATGTAGTGAAGTTCAAACACTCAGAGATGAAGGAAGAGGAGGGCTTCTACCTTCTGCTCCATCCCAGGTTATTAACGAGCCTCTTCCTGCCCTGTAGGTCATAAGCGAAGAGGACTTCCAGAGATGGGCCAGTTTCCGGCATGAGGCTGAGGCAGCCCTTGACAACCGAGAGGAGCTTCTGATGGAGACAGCACAGCATCTGGAGAATCAACTCACCTTACTCGGTACTAAAAATAAGACATTCCACCAAAAAGGCAGTGCTGCAAGTTGCAAGGGAATCCTTGGCCCCGATTCTGACAGTGCTAACAAGTATGTCTCAATTAGCAGCCTTCGCTGGGTGTCCTTCCAGGTACTTGGCAGAAATGGCTGCGCCTATACTCAACCTGAGCTTCCTAAGGATGCCCCAAGAGCATTCCTGTACTCCTTGCTCAAAGAAGCCTGTGAATTTGGCTCCTTCTCCAATAGCACACTTCTCTGGTCATCCAAATGTTTGTGGAGCACCTGCTCTGTGCCAATAGCATGCTAGGAACAAGGGCCACGAACTCTACTTTCCTAGAACTCCAGCTCTTGTGAGGATGTGGAGGATGAAGCAAGTATTTTCGACAGAGTGTGATGAAGGCTGGGCTGGAAGCTGTGCCCGGTGGGATGGAAGCACAAAGGCGGTACCCATCTATCCCTGGAGGCAGGAGGGCCTAGAGTCTGGTAATGAAAAGACAGGAGGAGCCAGTCCTACCATGCGGCAGGGTATTCCAGGCCAAAAGAAGGGCCCAGAGCCAAGAATCTGGACTGGCTGCAGTCACAGAGTTCTGCTGTGGCTGGATCAGAGTGTGGGGAGACAGGACGGAAGATGACAAAGATCAGAAGGAACCAGATTGTGAAGAGTCATGTCACTCACAGGCTAGACTCGGAGGGAAGAGGGTGGAGGCAGAGACCAATTTCTGCTTTCCAATAGTGAATCTGGCTGCTGCCAGAGAGAAGGTAGACAGGTGGGTTGGGTGGAAGATAAGAGGCAGAAAGACTTGGTAAGGGGCAGGGTGTATTTCTATTGCAGGAAAAAAAAAGCATTGCTGAGGGGTAGGAGGAGGGAAATTTATCAGAGCTCACATTTTGGGAGACAGATCTAGGTGAGGCATTGCCCCGACAGCATGGACTGGCCATGTGGCACAACCCCCACCTTCATCTGGGGGAGGTAATACTAACCTGGGGATGAAGCCAAGTTCCAGCCCTGTCAGGAGCTTGCATCCATCCCTGACATCCATCAAACCCCTTAAGCCACCCAGCCAGGCTGTTGTCAGGGGCAATGCCTTTCCACATACAGGGTAGCAATGGGATTTGCCAGGATGGCTGGCATCGGGGGAATGCGACTTTGTTCCCACCTCCTTCAGCCTTTGCTCCCTGTGCCTTGGCTATAGAGGTCTTTGCTTGGTGCCTCACAAGATCCGCTTAAAGCTGGACCTACTGAATCATTTTAGCTACCATATACGCATACACATAAGGCCCCTAGCAGACATCCCCTTAGTGTGCCTGGCCCCCCACCCCCCGCAGGTGAGAAAGTGTTCATCAGCTGTATGGCTACAAGAGAACACTTGTCAGAACCAGTCGGCTTCCTGTGGCTGGGAAAGGCGTTCACAACCTTCCTGTTTCATTTTCTCTTTATTCACACAAATAAATGTGTTTTCCTCCTCTCTCTCTCCCTTGTCTCACTGTCATATAAATCAGCTTCAGGACCTCAGCTGCCACGCTCACCCTGGGAGAGTGAGGCTCGAGCCATCACTGTCTATGCTGTTGTTTACCAGCATCTTTGGAACTGCAATGGAAAAGAGGCACATTTGGGAAGAGAGGGGCTCTTTTTTCTCCCCTCAAAGTGGCTGGGCAAGGACAGGAGAGGTCTGGGAAGAGATTTCATCATACCACTAAAAAACTGCATTGCCTTCATGCTAAATCTCAAAATATAAAATGATCTCTTCAATATGCAGTCAATGTAACTGCTGTGCAACCTATTATCACTCTGGATTATTAAAAGACACAGAATGGCTCACTCCTGCCCAGAGTGAGATGGAGAGCCATTAGTCTGTCTGTGGTCTGAGATGAATCCTAATTTAAATGCAGATTTATTTTGCTTAATCACTTTGCAACTACTCAGTATCTGAGTATATATTCTTCAGGGTTGATGCAAAGCTGTAGATCATTTTAAAATTATAAACCTGCATGCTCCATTCCAAGAATATTACCCCAAGACGTGAATCTCTGTTAGTTGTGCTGGAATCCCTGGTGGGGCAGAGATTTCAGTCTGTCCACTTAGGCACTCCTGTTACTGCTGGGCGGGCTCTGGCCACCTCCAGCTCTCCTCTGCACCCTTGCTCTGCTGCCATCATAGCTCTCAGCCCTGAACCTCATCCTGCTGCCCCCAGTCCGTTCTCTAGAATGGTCTCAGGACCCAAAACTAATCCTGACACGCTGCAATGTGCCCTTTAATAACTTTCTTTGCTCCTAAAGGAACTGCGCCCCCTTGAGGCCCTGAGAAGGCTCCACCTGCTGCGGCCCCCACCCTACCTCCCTTTCTGAGTTGGCTTTCGGCCTGAGCTCCGGGCATCCACGCGTGTTGATCCTTCTACCTGGGGTTCTCCTCCTCCCTCACTTCCTGACTTTATCTTCTTGATCTGTGCTTAACTGGCTCCTCGACAAGGCCTCCCCTGCTCTTTCAGGGCAAGCTTTGGTCTTTGCGTTATAGTGATGTGACCCCCTCACCACCTCTTGTCATATACCTCACTTAGAAAGCCTAACCTGAGACCTCTGGGCTCCAAGTGGGTGGAGACCAGTGGTATCTGGGGTGACTAGCGTAGCCTGGCACAGGGGAGCTAGTTAAGCAGCCCTGCCTGGCTTCCTTGGTCTCTGAGGAAATGAAGCTGCTAGTCTCTTATTGCAGTGTTGACTCTGCTGGTTTTGATCACTCCAGGAGCCACTGGAATTGAAGACCGGCTGCAGGAAGGCGTCCCAGATACCATCGCTGCTCTGCGGGAGGCTGGGATCCAGCTCTGGGTCTTGACGGGAGATAAGCAGGAGACGGCGGTCAACATCGCCTACGCCTGCAGGCTGCTGGATCAGACTGACACTGTGTACTCCATTCACACAGAGAATCAGGTGAGGCCTGTGCACCAGACATCAGGGACAGAGCAGCCTCTTGGCCCCCAGGAGACAGGCAGATGGCTAGGATTTGGTACAGAAGAGGACCACCCCTGCCATCCCCCTCCCCAGTATCACTGGAGGACCCCGGGAGTCTTCTCCACCTTGTCCCTACTCATGGTAGAACAGTCTGTTTTGTTATTTTTATTCAGATTTATTTGAGAGGCAGAGTTACAAGGAAACAGAGAGGCCTTCCATTCTGTGATTCATTCCCCAAAGGGCTGCAACAGCTGGATCTGGGCCAGTCTGATGCCAGGAGCTTTTTCCAGCCCTCGTATGCATGTACAAGAGCCCAAGCACTTGGGCCATCTTCTACTGCTTTCCCAGGCCATCAGCAGGAAGCTGGATTGGAAGTGGTGCAGCTGGGACTCGAACTGGCATCCATATGAGATGGTGGTGCCGCAGGCAGAGGCTGAGCCTACTAGGCTGTACCATGGGCCCAAGTCTCTCTTCCTATTAGAAAGTTTTGCCTCTCCCTTGGCCCAGTCTTCCCATTTTACAGATGTGGAAACTGAGGACCACAGGGACTCAATTACATGTCCAGGTTCTGATAAAACTAAGTTTAGAAACCCCGTTTTCCTGCCAGGCTAGCACTACAAGGGGACTTCAAAAAGGTCATGGACGATGGAATTAAGTGTATTTTGGTGCAAAAAAAATTTGAAATCTGCATCTTCAAAAAGTTATGCATGGATTTGGAAAATGTGTTGTACCAAAATAAATTTATGTTCTAATTCCATTTTTCCTCGAGCATTTTTGAGGTATTCTGGCTATTTACATTCAGCTACACTGCTATCTCACAGAGCCTCATTTTTCAGTTTCTTCTGATTTCAGATTTTTTCATTTGAAAAAGTCCTTATTACATTGGCACTGAAATTTTAAACTCAATTTATCTGTCAAATTGTTCTCCCGCAGAGCAGAGACTTGCAGGGAATGCTCCATGGGAGCAGTAGGCTTTTAGGAATGGGAGAAGGTAGTCCACTCCTAAAGCTGCAGGTTTCTTGTTTGTTTTTATTTATTTGACAGAGTTATAGACAGTGAGAAAGACAGAGAGGAAGGTCTTCTTTCCATTGGTTCACCCCCCAAGTGGCCGCCAAGGCTGGCTCACTGCACCAACCTGAAGCCAGGATCCAGGTGCTTCCTCTTGGTCTCCCATGCGGGTGCAGGGCCCAAGCACTTGGGCCATCCTCCACTGCCTTCCCGGGCCACAGCAGAGAGCTGGACTGGAAGAGGAGCAACCGGGACTAGAACCCAGCACCCACGTGGGATGCCGGCGCCACAGGCGGAGGATTAACCAAGTGAGCCATGGCGCCGGCCCAGAAGCTGCAGTTTTCAACCAGTATAGGTTGTGGGTGGCATGGAGTGAGGTTTGCAGAAAGGGCTGTGTGAAGTCAGAAGCAGTATGTTGAAAGCTATCATACAGTTTTGTATTTAGCAGGGAAAAAAAAATCTGTTTTCACAAGGCGAATTTCAGAAAGCAAAGGTCCAGGGCCAAGTGTTTAGCATTGCAGGTAAGACTGTAAGTGCGACGCCTGAGTTTAGTCCCAGCTGCCCACCAGCACACACCCTGGGAGGCAGCAGGTGATGGCTTAAGTAGTTGGGTCCCTGCCACCCAAATAAGAGACCCGGTTGAGTTTCAGGTTCATGGCTTTGTCCTGCCCCAGTCCCAGCTACTGTAGGCATGTGGGCAACTGAATAAATGATTCAGAGAATGAGTCCAATTTTCTTTCTCTCTTGCCTTTTCTAACTATTGTTTTAAATGAAGGTAAAGTTCTATCATCGTAGCTGATGAACGTGGGAGATGGGCTTGGAGATGTACACTACAATCAGAGAGAGCAAGGATTAGATTCAATGGGGGACGTTAGTGAGGAAAGCACTGGATGGCGGGGAGACGAGTGGCAGGAACTTCAGAGCCAAGGAATCCCCTGAAGAAGAGGGAGGAAGACAGGGAACATGAAAGAGGCAGGGGAGGACATGAGGATCTCACTTTGTTCCTTCAGTTGCCCTGAGGCTGCTCTAGACCCAGAATGCAAGTCCGTGGAGGGTTCTACTTGGGTTTCATTCTGTGGAGCAACCATATACAAATATTGAAAAAGAAAATGTAATATTAACTATGAGAAATGCCTGAGGCCCTTTAGAGAAATTGAAAAACTCATTTACTTTCCTGTCAGGTGCACAGGTGATGCTATAATTATATTAACCACCAATGATTTTTCAAGATGGAAATAATCTAAAGGAAAATTTGGGGTTTAATAGTATGCTTAAGAAAGACAGTAATTTGCATGAATCTCGGGTATCGTGATGGTGCCTGCCTGTCCAGCTTCCCGTGGAAGTGCAGTTTGCAATGACCCTTTCCCCGCAGGTAGTTCTGGATGCCAGACATGTGCACGCCTGGGAGGCAGCCAGCCTGGCGGGGTGGGATGGCGCAGGCTTCCAGAGGTTCTCTTACATGCAATGCATTCTGGTGGGAAGCTGAAGATGTTTGCCGATCAATAGCCAAAGTTTCTAAGGAACCGTTGGCCACAGTCTGTCCTTAATGCAGTCACTGCCAGTGCTTTTCAGTTCCTCCAAAATGAGGCCTGACCTGTCATCCCTGTCTACACTCCTAGCCCTACTAAACCCATGGATGAGGCTTTCTTGTCTCCTTGTCTGGAAATAGGTGATAAATTCATAAATGCATGATATGCATTATAAATCAGGTTTATTTAAACCCAGTTTAATAAGGACATACTCAGTGTGCATTTCCTCCTGGGGTTTTGATTTTTCCAATTCATTATAAATCGATTTCGGGCTATTGTTTCTTTGTAGTGTATCTTACAGCAATAGTCAGCTTATGGGACCTAGCCTGACATTTTCATCCCTAAGAGCTAACCCAGCACTGAAGTGTTGATCTGAGAAGGAGGTTTAAAAGGGACTCAAATATTAGATAGGAACTAAGTACAGCTACTATTGTTATTGTCATAATTAACAAGAATATATCAAAAGCTTAACACAGTCCAAATGCCATTCTGTTTGAACTTCATGTTCCTCATTTGTAAAATAGGGATTAAAAATATTTACTTCACAAGCCCTGGGAGGGTTAAGCAATATCATTGAAGACACCCAGTTACTCGGCACAGCACCTGTATTATTTATAGCTGCATAACAGATTACTTCAAAGCTCAGCGGCTGAAACAGATGTTTGTTGTGCCGTGTTTTGGAAGATTAGGGTCCAAGGGCATCCGAGCTGGGTGCCTCTAGTTCAAAGTCCCTCTTGAAGCAGCAGTCAAGCAATCAGAGCCCAGCCTCATCTGAAAGCTCCATCGTGTAGGTGCTTTGGGAGTGGGAAGGAGTCCGGCTTCCAAGTCCACCCACACGATTGCTGGCAAACCTCTGTTCCTCACACTGTGGGCCTCTCTCCATGGCAGCTACACAGCATGACAGCTGGGTCCCCCCAGGGTGAGCCGTCAAGAGATACAAAGAGAAGCAGATCGGAAGCCATGGTCTTATTATAACCTAGTGTGGGAAGTGCCATCCCATCCCTTTTGTGGAATTCTCTTGACTGGAACGAAGTCCCTTGGTCTAGCCCACACTCCATGGAAAGAAATTACAGAAGGGCATGAATACCAGGAGGCAGAAAGCATTATGTACCATCTGGGAGGCTGCTCACTACTGGAGCTGATGTATATAAAATATTTCCTTAGTGGTAACTATTGTGATCATTACCCCTAGCAGTTGGAAAGAAGAGAATTCAGATCTGATTTTAAAGCTTACATTTCCATTGACTTGTTTCAATCATGTGTTCAAGGAATGGCTATAATTGGTGCCAACTTCACCTTCCAGCAAGGACGACCTTGAACTCTTCCCAGTTAAATGCCTCTGGTATTGTCTCTCACTCCTAGAACCACTTCCTGGAGCCCCTTTGGACTATTAGACTTCCAACATTCCATTTAGCAGCCCCTAAAGGAAGACTCAGAAATGATAAACTGTGGCTTAAGTCATTCCAGGAGAATTTATTTCAGACATTCCCAAACAGAAATATCTAGACAAATGCTCCCCAAACCTGTCACTTCAAACCTTGCCAAGATTTGCATATGACCTGCATTGCCTTTGACTTAATGAGTTCATTTAAATTGACTTACTTTGATTGTTACTTAGGTTTAGAAGAAATTTTCTGCATTTTAATGAATGAAAAATCAACATCCTTGTGATGGATAAAAGAACACTGTGAAATGAAGACCATCTGAATAAAACAATGCTGTTGAAATGGGCAAACAGGGTTGTCCACCAGAGTTTTCTCTGTATTTATTTTAAAATGAGGTTCACAATGGTGAAAAAGGTAGTAAGAATATAACTAGAACAAAAAATCTGACTTTGCCTTTGATAGTCCAAAATAATGAAAGAGAATTGATAAGAGGAAATAACGTCCCTACTGTGATAGAAGGTAAACCTCTAAAAAAAAAAAAAAAGTTTTTCAATCAAGAAGAGACTGTCACATCCAGGATAAATTTGAACCAAGGTAATCAATAATTAAAACTGTGGTTCTAAGTGTCCTCCATGCATAGCCCAATGGGAAAAACCATGGTGAAAGTTTATTTTTAATTTAAGCTTGGATGACTTGGGTGAATTACTGAGGATCTTATTGTTTGTTTCCTCATCTCTCAGATCATTAATACACACCCTACCTACCACCCACAAATGTTCTGAGAGAAGAGAGAATCAAAGTAACCTATGAGAAATAGAAATCACTACACCAACATGATATGTCATTTGTCATCATCTTAGTATTATTTATTACACCATCCTTGGACCAGCTCCCATCTTGCTGACCTATTTTGGCCATTAATTTAGTTCCAAATTAATATGCCCTTGATGCTGTTTCAAATGCTGCAGAGAAATGTATTGAAGAATAAATAATTCCTAAGCAATCTAGAATGGTAGTTTTATAACTATCCTACTACATGATAAAGTGAAAACTGTAATGTATTTACCAGTTTGCTTACCCATTCCATATTATTATGATTCTTTCCAGGAAACCTGTGAATCCATCCTCAATTGTGCGTTGGAAGAGGTGAAGCAATTTCATGAACCACAGAAGCCACGCCACAAGTTCTTTGGATTCCTCCTACCTTCCAAGATACCATCAGTCATTCCAGGAGCTGCAGTTCCAGAAGTGGGATTGGTCATTGATGGAAAGACACTGAATGCCATTTTCCAGGGCAAGCTGGAGAAGAAGTTTCTGGAGTTGACCCAGTACTGCCGGTCTGTCCTGTGCTGCCGCTCCACCCCTCTCCAGAAGAGTATGATAGTCAAGCTGGTGCGAGACAAGTTGAGCGTCATGACCCTCTCCATAGGTACTCACCACACTGGGCAGTGGTTGGCTGCATGGCAGGGATGATTTGACAAGAGGCCTGGCCTGGAGGTGGGAGTTGGGAGGTCAAGTACCAGAGTCAAGTTGCTTAGGCTGAGGGTCACTGTTTCAGAAAATTCAACTGGGGTGGCAACTCAGAAGTGAACACACTAACTACTGTCAGAGTAGATCAAAGATGGTGGGCCTGGTAAGATTGCTATAGCAAAATCAAAACTTGAGTGGAGGTCAAAACCAACAGGGGAATTGAGTTTAGAACATCCAGGTAACTTGGGAAATGCTACCACCAATAGTGCACACTCAGACCATCTCCATTGTGAGTACATTTCATCTTCAGTTCTGTCCTTGTGTACACAACCTCAAGTTTCTGGATTTGATGTTCTTCTGAGTTTGATGGCTACTAGGGAGATTTTACAAACTGGGAGTGTCTCATGTTTAATTGTGTATGGTCTTTCCCAAATCCAAGGCCAGCACAGAGCATATCCTCCATAAATTCTGCCTAGTTAATTGATGAGAATTCCTCAGAGAAATAAACCGTAATTATGTTGAGACAGAAATAAGAACTGTACTAACACCTTCCCAGAACTGATTTAAAAGAATCTTCATGGTTGGTCTCTGTCACTCCTCCAGCCACATCTCTACTCCTGGCTACTTTTCTCTCCACTGCAAGTGGCTCTCCATATTCCACCCCAATTAAACTGCTTAGCATTCTCCACGAATCTAGTCCCCTGCCATTTCCATAACTTAATTCCCTTATGAAACACTCCTTCCAATCCCTCCTCCCTATGCTTTCTTCTGGGGGCTTTCACAGCACCCAGTACCTATAACTCCCAAGTTCTGTCATACTTTTATGATGGCCTATTCATTAGACTATGAGTTCCTTGTATAGACAGAGTCATTCTTGTTCACCATTTGATCCCTTATGAAGCACATAGTCTATTAGCAGTCCCTTCCTTGCCGCTGTCTGTGGTTTCAAGTTACCCCTGGTGAATCAAGGTCTGAAGATAATGGAAAATTCTAGAAATGAACAATTCTTAAGTTTTAGGTAACCTTGTTACAATATATTACCATAATTGCTCTATTTTATTAGTATTGTTAATCTCTTACTGTGGCTTTCTTATGTATATGTAGAAAAGAATAGTATGTATAGGGGTCAGTTTTATTTGTAGTTTCAGGCATCCATTGGGAGTCTTGTAACATAACCCAGTGAGTCAAGGAGAGGTTGTTTTATCACATTGACTTACGGGCACTCCTACAGAGGGTGCCAGTCTCTTTTCCTCCCTCATGGGCATGGAAGGAGATCTCTTTGGGCATTTAAAATGAGATCCACTAGATACTGTGGGAGACTTCCTGACTTTCAGGTAAAAGCAGTGCAGAATAGGGAAAGGGGGGAGATGAAGAATGCTGGGAGCAGATCTTCAAGTGCATCTCACTTGTACACCCGGAGCCATCCTCTTCAGAAATGTAGACACACAGGAAGCAGTAGCCCAGTACTGATTCCCTGAGGTCAAAGATTGGCTCAACTCCCATGGCAACTGAAACAAAACCAGCGGGGCAAGAAATAGCATGGTTCCACACCTCTACTTCTCTTGGTTTACTAAAAGAAGAGGTTAAAGGTTGGATTTGTTCTGTGAAGGGCGAGATGAAAATTTTGCACTGCTATGCCATCAAGGAAAAAAATAGCATAATAAAATCTAGTTATAATGGCAAGATTTTAAAGAGCAATGCATGTGTTGCCAAATAAGGGGAGAAGATTTACTCTCTCACCCCTCTAATTTCATATTCTCTTACATGAATAATATAAATGTAATGCAGCTTATTCTGGGAAGCCACTAGAGCCAGGAGGACGATGAAAGCAATGTGGTCTGTGATGGGGGTTGCAAAGCGGGACCCACAGGCTGAATCCAGCCCACTGCTTTTTGTGCAGATGCAAGAATGGTCTGTTTTTACAAATAAATTTTGTAAACCACCCCAGCCTATCAGCAAGAAGAGTTTTTGATTTTGCTTCTTGACTCACAAGGGCTGACCATGTACAGAGTTCAGTTTGCTGAACTCTAGTTTCAAAGATAAGCTCTGGGGAGGCTGAGGCTCCTAAAGAAGGCCTCACTCTCCACAGTGATGTTCAGAGCTGTAAATTGCTACTTCAACATAGTCAAAATTAAATGGAACTGCACCAGCCACATTTCAATAGCTGCAACTGGCTGCTGGTTTCTGTATTAGACAGTATAGATACAAAACAGTTCCATCAAGACAGAAAAATGGTCTTGATATGGAGGAAAACCATATCTGTGAATATAAAATTCCATGGCCTTACCTCTGGTTTCCTGAAACAACTCAGTTCAATTGAATGGGAACTCAGTGTGACTAAATGTACTCAGTTGGGGGGGGGGGGTCTCATTTTCCTATAATCAGAAACAAAATGGAACATCGTACCTGTCCTTGGACACCACTGACACCGATTTGGCTATCACAATATTCTAGGTGTCATGACATGCTCAGTATGGTGAGCCAGACTGAGTTAGGGAAGCATATTGGCTTAGAATTGGAAAGATTTGAGTTCCAATTCTCCCACGTCTCTTCACAAGCTGGATTATCCTTGAAAAATCCCTGAATTGCTCAAATTATCCACTTGGTCATTAGCAACTCCACTGTAACATTTACAAAGGACTTTTTCTAAGCTTAAGCACTGCCCAAGTGTCTCTTGTTCACCATTGTATCCCAAACACCGAGCATTATACCCATAATAAATATTGGGTATGTGATTTTTAAAAAGTAGGCTATGTGTGCCATGAGAGAAGATCTCTCTCAGACCAAGTAACAATGATTGCCAAAGTTATTCGTGATTTGTTAAAAGGATTCAATGGTGTGCAAATGGGAATACTTGAGTGCTATTTCATTGTCACTGAGTAGCTGGACCAGGAATAGAAACATCCCATGACCTCTCTTCTTTCAGGTGATGGAGCAAATGATGTAAGCATGATTCAAGCTGCTGATGTTGGAATTGGAATATCCGGGCAGGAAGGCATGCAGGTATCATTGCTTTGCACTGTTCTTGTTTGTTGTTCACTCTGCTTTAATCCTTAGTGGAGATTTAAGAAATTCTACACAGAGCTGGAAGAACTTTTCCCTGAGAACCTCACAGAATTGTCTCTGGAAATGCTGGTATGTGAGCTCCATCAACACATCCCCATTGCCCCATCCTTTGAAGATCAAAGGAGATCACAAGATGCCTCACTTCTTTATGGAAGCCAGAAATAACTATATTCTCAAGTCAAATAGTACCCAACCATTCAGGAAGGTACAAGGCTTCCTGGGAGTCTGTGCTTCCTCCCTATGACCCACACCCACACCCACACCCCAAGGTGCAATGCTCTTGGTAAGCAGTGATAGAAATAAAGACACGTGAAAATATTTTTCAACAGCCTTTTCAGTTGTAATGACTAGATTGACTCACAAATTGCTTGGCATGCTTTCATGGTACACACAATTTAGTGAAGATTCAGCTTGGAAGAAGCATACTAACTTGATCTGTTCAATTCTCCCATTAAAACAAACCTCACTTTGTAGTTTTTTATTTACTAACAGTTGCATTCCCAGCACCTGCATAAACACTTGGCAGTGTCTAAATGTGTTGATGTGAGTAGAACAGCATTGCCCATGAAGCCAAAAACAGAATTCTGTGTTACCCTTTGAGTATCTACCCAACACCAGCATTGAGTTGGACATTTCATCATTTAATGTTGGCGGGATTATTACTTGATTGTTTTCCCCGATAGGAAAACTGAGGTGCAGGGAGTTGAAATACCCTGACTGTGATTCTTAACTGGATACCTCTAAACCTCTACTCTTAAAAAGAGCATTATAACCGTATCTTGTTCAGAGTACAAGAGCTACCGAACCAATGACCTGCCCCAAGAGGCAGTGAAATATTGGGAGGTTTGAGAAATAGCTAATGGAAGCCCCCTTCTATGTGGTGAACTATCCCATTCCTAGCATGGAGCTTGATACCTACCAAGCCACAGTAAGCATTAATTGGGTAAAAATGGATGGAGATAAAGACCCAGACTGGACCTCTGCTCCCTTCTCATCTGCCTAATGCTAGTGAGGTTTGCATTTCCCAGCAACTAGGTTAAGGTGTCAGAATCCAAAGCATCACCCAAGAACGACCAGGTAACAACAATGGGGCTTACAGATGCTGCCAGCCATGCACCTGGCCTAAGAAGTCTACTCCAGGGCACTCTGGGTCACGGGCGCCTGTGCACAGAAGCTGCCGTCTCTCCTCCCCCTCCCAGGCCGTCATGTCCAGCGACTTCGCCATCTCCCACTTCAGGTACCTCAAGAAACTGCTGCTTGTGCACGGCCACTGGTGCTACTCCCGCCTGGCTAGAATGGTGGTGTACTACTTCTATAAGAACGTGGTGAGTAGCCCTGCAGGGCTGGGGGAGTCCCCGACTCAGAGCCAGGCCTCCCTTCATGGGTGGACGAAGCACCTCAGCACAAGGAAGCAGTCAGGCTGACCTGGGTTTTAGGATTCTGAAGTTATCCCTTGCTCGTTCTGTGACCTTGGGCAAAACTCTTTACTTCTTGGCGGCTTGAGTTTCTTCTTTCATCACACGGGGGTAATACTTGGTATTTTTGTCAAATTGTTCAAAGAAGGGGTAATATTGTATGAAAAGCCCCTTGCACATAGCCAGCAGCATGAATGGCTAAGAATATGAACTCTGGAGTCAGATACATTGGTTGAAATCTAAGGCTTCCATATCCAGAAATGTCCCTAAACCTCTATTTCACCATCTATGAAATGAAAGTAGTAATGGTACTGTTTTCACATATAAAGCATCCTCAAAAAGTTGGCCAAACTGCAAATTGTGGGAAAAAGCATAGTCATCAAAACTATTTGCATCAAAAGAAACATTTTCATTCCATTTTTCCACAAACTGAAATTTAATATTTGCTTTGAGGATTGATTGAGAGCTTGTAGAGAAAGAGACTGTCTTATAATAATCCCTCTATAAAGTGAATCTTTCTTCAAATTTGTTTATTAAACAAAGAGCTCCCATCTGCTGGTTCAATCCCCAGATGCCCACAATGGTCAAGAAGATGGGGGCTGAAGCCATAAGCTTAGTCCAAGTATCCCATTTGGGTGTCAGGAACCCAATTACTGGAGCCATCATAGCTGCCTCCCAGGGTCTATATCAGCAAGCAGCTAGTCAGGTGCCGGGGCTCGGCATTGAACCTAGGCATTCCAGAGTGGAAGGGGGCAGCTTAAAGGAAATCTAACCACTGCACCAAACACCCACTCGGCCATTATTGTTAGTGTTGTTGCTATTTCCCTTAGACGTTATTATAAGTACTGTCATTTTCTAAGGAAGAAGATATGAGTATTTAGTGTCTTAAGTTCCTCTCCAGACAGCCACTCCCACCCAAGAGTTGTAGCCCGTGCCTTGGACGAGTGGAGGTGAAGGTGCCTCCCAGAACACAGGGCTTCAAACTGAGCCCTGCATGGCACTGTGGCACCACCGGCTTTCCTTGTTCAAAGTTGCTGGGGGCACCACATTATCAAACCTGTTGGCAAAGATGCTCGGGTGAGGAGATCCTCAAGGCTGTCGTCTTGCCCCACTCTTCTGTGTAACCTTTCTCTGAGCCTCATTTTGCTCATCAGTAACAGCAGTGAGAGAGCATCCTCCCTGCCTGTGGAAATAGTAAAAGTGTCCGAGATCCAGAAAGCACATATCACTACTCAAACGGTGGTATAAAGATAATGCTGGGTCTGAGTCTAAGGAATATGGTGGTTGCTGTCTTCTTGATAAGGGCTGAAGGGAAGCTTGTGCCAAGTGAGTTCTTCAAACTGTCGGAAGTCACAGCATTGCTGCCCTGAGGGAGGGAATGAAGGGCCAAGTTTTTCTACCTAGTTCAAGGGCCTCTGAATAATCTTCAGGAGTCTCCAACTAGAATCTTATTACTCTTAGCATAAAGCAGAAGAGAAACACATTAGCCAAGGCATGCCTACAAAATTGCAGAGTTTTGTTTCTTTATTGACTTATTTTGGTCTCTCGCTCCATTCTCCCAGTTATCCGTTCAATCTGAGAGTCACCCTCGCACAAAAAATTCAATGTCTCTGTAAATAAACAGTATGACAAACAACAGTGTAAATCCATTCAACTGGATGGTAAGATTGTCTCATCAAGTCTATGCAAACAAGTCACTCCATTTGACTTGAAACTCACTCCGAGTGTCAAAGACTGTTTCCTTAGAAGACAAAAAGCCCCTGGTTTTGGGTTGGGTTTTTTTTTTTTTTTTTGCATCTAAAGGAGTCATTTTTTTGAATGAACACAGCCTCTTCTCAGCATTAAATTTGTGAAATAGAAAAGGAAACGTTTCCAGCTAGCCTCGCTTTCAGAGCTTTAACGATCTTTCTCACCCAGTGGCGTGCTCGCAGTTGCGATACTCCAGCTGCATGATCTGCTCGTTGCAATTAGAGGGTAGAGAACTATGACTTTACATCCACAACCAATTTCCGAGAGGATTAAAACACTGCCTGCTCTGAAATCAACAATGAATTAGTTGCTGTGCTGGAACTTCTTGGGAGGAGGTAGGCATCCAGCCTCAGAGATGCTGTTCCAGGGTTCAGTGCATTCCCTTCAAGATGCCAAGATCCTAGCGGAAGCACTCTGTGATAGCAAACTCCAGAGTAAGACTTCAGTTACTGAAGCAATACTGAAGGCCGTGTGGCAGGAACAGTGCTGCGTATTGAGTATAGAGCAGGAATGGAACCAGTCATGGTCGCTCTCCTCCTGAGGCTGACAGTCCACTGGCTCAGCAAGTGTTTTCTGCAAAAGGTTAGATAATAGAGGTTGTCAGCTTTATATGCCATACGTGCGGGAGAGGTTCACTGTGTAAAGATGGGATGGAGGAAGGCAGAAGGTTAAAGAGAAAGCACTTAGAAAAATAAGATCTTGCTTGGACCACTTTCTAGCTCTGAACCTAAGTATCTCAGCTGCAGAGTGGCGCTTACGTTAATATTGTCAATATGTAGCACACTGCATGGGTTCATTACCCTTGTCCAAAATGCTTGTGAATACCCCTTATGTGAAATTCTTGGGACCAGAAACATTTGAGATTTGAGGTGTTTGTGGATTTGGAAATATCTGCAGACTATACTGATTGATGCTCAAAAAGCTTTGGATTTTAGAACAAATCAGATTTCTGGTTTAGGAATGCTCAACCTGTATTAACGTAATAAATGTAATAACCTCGCAAGTTTATTTGGGCAAGTTATAGAGCATACTGCACAAATAATGTATTATTCACTGATAAACTATAACATGTAGTAAAAAATAAAGCCCTTCACAATAACACCCACCCAGCAGCTAGGAAATGAAATCTACTGAATTATTTCTTCAAGACCTCTCAGGTCTCTGTGCATTACCGCCTTAGTCCTGACACCAGGACCACGTGCTTTCATGACCTGTGTCACATCAACAAACTACAACATGGCCAGTGGTAACAGTGACCCAGCCCACCTGCAGGTGGGGAGATTTGAAGTAGCAAAGAGCTTTAGGAAAACTGAAGTAATATTTAGGCAAAAGATCTACTTACCCTTCGGAGTTAGCCATTTGCGAAGTATCCTGTGACAGGCAGTCGCCAAAGTGGTTAACCTTGGTGGGGAGGGGCAGTGTTAAGCTGCCACTTTCGACACTGGTATCCCATACCAGAGTGCTGGTTCCTGTCCTGGCGGCTCTGCTTCTGATCCAATTTCCTGCTAATGCAACAGGCAAATCAGTCGAAGAGACCTCAGTGCTTGGATCCTTTGCCACCCGTGTGGGAGACCCAGATAGTTCTAGGCTCTTGGTTCAGGCCTGTCCCAGCCCTGGGTGTTTCAATGATCTGCAGAGTGAACCAGCAGATGAAGATGTGTGTGTGGGAGTTTGTGTGTGTATCTGCCTTTTGCTCCCATACACTGCCTTTCCAATAATTAAAAAATAAATAAAAGCTAACTGCTGGGGCTGCCCACATCCCACACTGAAGAGACTGGTTTCAGTTCCAGTGCCTCTGCTTCCTGCTAACGTGCACCCTGGCCAGCAGAAGTGATGGTTCAAATACTTGGGTCTCTGCTGTCCACGCAGCAGAATCAGATCAGGTTCCAAGCTCCTGGCTTCAGCCTGGCCTCGCCCTGGCTGCTGTGGGCACTTGTAGAGTAAAACAGCAGATGGAACATCTCTGGATTTGTCAGTTTCAAATAAAAAAAAATGACAGAATATTACAACGGCACCAAGTACTGTCAGGCGAGCCTTCTAGTGAGGTCATCTTCCCCCCAGGTCCCCTCTCATGGCTCAGTTTCTCTCCCAGCCTCTCTTCTATGCCAGTCCTTTCTGTTGCTTTCGTGTGTCCCCAGCCACGCTCCAAGCACTGCTGTCCACCCCCCCCCCCCCCCGGGGTGACAAAATGAAGTTCAGAGACGTTGAGCTGTGTACCCAAGGTCACAGAGCTAGTACAGGACAGAAGTGGGAACTCTGTCTGCTCACTTAACCGCCCCCTTCAGCTAGGGAAGAACATGACTGATAGTAGACGTCCTAGCAGCAGCCACTGCTCTAAGGATCAGAGCCCTCTTGGTCCTTCTCCACAGCCCTGCCTGTGAGGACGGAGGAAAGCCCAGTCCCCAGGGTGGAGGGGACTCGCAGGAGCACTCGGCCGCCCGCGGGAGCCTTGCTCAGGAGGCCTCTGCTCTGTCCGCAGTGCTACGTCACGCTGCTCTTCTGGTACCAGTTCTTCTGTGGGTTCTCTGGCTCCACCATGATCGACTACTGGCAGATGATCTTCTTCAACCTCTTCTTTACCTCCCTGCCGCCCCTCATCTTTGGAATCCTCGATAAAGACGTCTCTGCAGAGACGCTGCTGGCACTGCCCGAGCTCTACAAGAGCGGCCAGAACTCTGAGGTAAGAGGCTTGCGAGGGCAGAGGGCGGCGGCCACAGCTGCTCCCCGACCCCCACCCCCACCCAGGGTCCTGCCATTTCCTCTCCCGTGACTGAGTACTCCTTCTCCAGTTTCCTGGCCCATTTGTTGCTGAGGGTGTTGAAGCAGACCCATGAGTATTTTTAATCATGTGTTCGTTATATCGTATGTTAATATGTCACTACGCTGGTGGAAGGGGGCAAGGGTGTATATATAAGGATCCCATCCCCCTCCGCAGGCCCCAGTCTTGAGGTGCATCGACAGAGTACCCAGGCCCAGGGTGAGAAGGCCCCCACCAGCAGGCTCATCAGGGGTAATCAGCCACTATATACTGGTTTCTACTGCATATCAGGAAAGGCAAAACCTGGAACAAGATTATGTGGGGGCTCCAACTGATTTGAATCTAATGACCTTTTAAGAATGCCTCAGAAGTCATCCAGCAACTTGCAAGAAGGCCCAGAGAGGCCACACCATAGCCCCATGTGTGTTTTTTTCAAGATTTGAGAGGCAGAGTTACAGACAGACAGATGGAGAGGCATGAAAGAGGTCTATCCACTGGTTCACTTCCCAAATGGCTTCAGCAGCCAGAGTTGAGCCAATCTAAAGCCAAGAGCCAGGATCTTCTGGGTCTCCTATGCAGGTGCAGATGCAGGGGCCCAAGGCCTTGGGCCATCTTCTACTGCTTTCCCAGGCCCTAAGCAGAGAGCTGGATCAGAAGAGGAGCAGCCAGGACTTGAACTGGCACCTATATGGGGATACCAGTGCTACAAGCAGAGCTTGACCACCTACACCACAGCACCGGCCCCAGCCCTACATGGTTTGAAGAAGTCAGATAGCATGCACTACAGGTGGTCAGACTGACACAGGCACCAGCAAGGAGGCTGGATGGAGGAGACGAGGGATGCCCAGGGGCCAGCACTGTGGCATAGCAGGTAAAGCTGCTGCCTGCAGTGTCGGCATCGCAAATGAGCGCTGGTTTGAGTCCCGGCTGCTCCACTTCTGATCCAGCTCTCTGCTCTGGCCTGGGAAAGCAGTAGAGGATGACCCAAGGCCTTCGGCCCCTGCACGCATGTGGGAGACAGGGAAGGAGCTCCTGGCTTCAGAGGGGCACAGCTCCAGCCATTTTGGCCATTAGAGGAGTGAACCAACAGATGGAGGATCTCTCTCTCCCTGTATAACTCTACCTTTCAAATAAATAAATAAATAAATCTTTAAAAAGAAAGAATGGGATGCTGAGCACCTTGAAAGGGAGCTCTGTGAAAAGGGACTCCCAAATGCCGGGGAGTATCTTTGCATCTGGGAAAGGAGGACAAAGCAGGTGTGGTGTTTGAGAGCTCATGACTGTGGACAGGCAACAGAGACCCAAGCCCAGTCCCAGTACAAAGGCTGAAGAGGTGAGGAAGGCAGCAGTGTGACAGAGAGATGTGCTGGTGCCACATGTGGATGTTGGCTTCTTCTCATTTTACCCTTCCAGTAGGCACTCTTGCTATGTAGCCTGTTGCTGGAACACCTACCATTAACAAAAGTCAATGTGGCAGAAACAGTCACTGAGCATCCCATATGGGCATAGGTGGGCTCAAAACCCAGCCCTGCCTCCTGCCCCCTCCATGGGAGGCCTGCATTGAGTTCCCAGTCCCTGCTGCACTGAATCGATGGTTGGGAATTCTTCATCTTGGGCTGACTAACAAAACATATAATAAAATTTGTGGAAAACAAAACAAAATGTTTCCCTTTTCCCCGGGAAGGCAAACAGTGAACCACAAAATAAGGTTTGTCTCTGAAGCCACTCAGCTGTTTGTCGGAAGTCCATCATCCTGGCTGTGCTTGGGATCTCCCTTGCAGAGTCACTTAGAAACCTTAGAATCTCTACACCTGCCAAGCTTGTAGTAGCAATAGATGTGAAGCATAATTACTATGGTACTAAAACACAGTTACATTTAGTCTTCTTGCGCCCCAAGAATATAGGTGGCTTTGATTTTACCCCAATTTTATGTAAGAGAAAACCAGTATTTAGAGTTCAGTAACTTTTTTTAAAAAAGATTTATGTATTTATATGAAAGGCAGATCAGTCTTCCATGTACTGGCTGACTCTGCAGATGCCTATAACAGCCAGGACTGAGCCCGGCTGAAGACCTAAGCCCACAACTCCATCTGGATCTCCCACATAGGTGGCAGACACAGAAGTATTTTGGGCCATCTTCCACTGATTTCTCTCAACGTGTTAGGTGGGTTGGAAACAGAATGGCTGGAACACAAACCCGGCACTCCAATGTGAGATACGGGAATGGGATGTAGAAGTCCTAAGTGGTGGCTTCACCCATGGTACCACGTTGCCTGCTGGGGTTTAGTCACGTAAGAGACACTGAGTGCCACGTTGTGTTCCATCACCACACACACAAAGGTGCCCGCGGAGCACTGTGGCTCACTTTGATGATGGTAAGCGTGGCTGTGCTCTCTCCCCACAGTGCTACACTGTGTGGACGTTCTGGATCTCCATGGTGGACGCTTTCTACCAAAGCCTCGTCTGTTTCTTCATTCCTTACCTGGTAAGTCGTTTAGTTGTATTGTAACCGTGCACATTGCATGCGGGGCTGCTCCTGGTATTGGTCATGTCTTTGTGGGTACTTGTGGAGTGAAGCCTCACATGAATTGGACTGCAGCCCGCATCCAACCCAAGGTCTTTGGGAAGTCAGAGCGTTTTACCAAGATTTTATCATTTCTGGTGACCTTTGAAAAACAAAAAGCTACCCTGACACTGGGTCCCTTTCCCCTCAGGGCAAAGATCCAGCACATGTTCTCCAATTTGCCCAGCCCCTCCCAAGTACTACTTTCTGCCTGACCATCGAAGGTGTTTGACCTTGGATCCTTTGATTTATATTGATTTGTGCTTGTAAGCTCAAAGCAGCAAGCATTTAGGCTGCAAGTTCTGATCATCAGAAATGACTTACTAGCTTAGATATATAGCAGTTACATAAGAGCAAAGGCTGCCGTCCGAGCTCTGGGTCACCAGTGAGAAGCCAGGCATACCCCTCCTCAACAGGGGACCAAAATATAGTGTAATTGGTGCCCAATCAGCACTGGGGCACAGCGGGGAGGGGTAGGCATCCTGTGCTTTGTTCTGCAGCACTCTGCCCACCCAGGGCTATGCTGTCTTTCTCTTCAGCCCTCCATGTGCCAACTGACCTAGGCCTTGAGTGCATTTGCCTTCTCTTTTCAAGTAATTAACTCCTTTGACCATAATTGCAGCTGATACAGCCGCCATTCTGTGTTCCTAGGATGCCTGCTACTGGCCTCTATAATAGCATTGACCCCTGCCAAATAGATGGCAAATTCCTCGAGCATAGATAAAGAAGTATCCTCAGCTATTGGCACAGCACCCAGTCCATCCTGTGTTCGGCCATCCCACGCTGGTTTTCAGCCCGCATCCTAGCCACCGTAGGCACACATGTTTTTGAATATCATAGTCACCTATTCATTTTAGTTAGTTCCTTGGGTCAGTTTCACATAGATGGCAGTGGGATTCCTCCTCTCCCGGATGCTTTATATTCATTGCTCCCATGAGCGCATCTCACAATTCCCACCTCTTCCTCTGCAGACCTACCAGGGCTCCGATATTGATGTCTTCACCTTTGGGACCCCGATCAACACTGTCTCCCTCACCACAATCCTCCTGCACCAGGCAATGGAAATGAAGACCTGGGTAAGGGTCCCAGAGCCCCTTTGGCTTAAAAATTGCATTCCTATCCATTGACTACATTTAGATATCCGTGTTGTCTCGCTCCATTCTATAGATCCATTGGGTGTCCCATTTGTATAGGGAGCCAAGAGGTAAAGTTGGTAGAATTCGTCACCTCAATTTGCTTAGCATCTAATCAGGATGATCAAACTAGCATCCCAAATTAGTTGCAAAATGAATGATGTTGCTAAAGAAAACACTGGGCAGACCATACTTGCTGCTGTGTTAGGCAGGAATGCTCCCCATCTAATTTGGAAGTGAAATAATAGATTTCTGCCTCCAGGTCACTGCAACCCAAACATGTCCAAATATCACACTTTGATTCCTAAAAAGGCACTGCTGGCATATTTATTGAATTCTTCTAAAGCAAAGAGCTTAACATTATATCCTGGGCACCTATTTGCATGATTTACACATATGATCTCCTTTAGCCTCCAAGAGCTCTTTGTGTTAAATAAACTTAATATCTATTATTTGTCTATGAGACAAAATGTTATATGTAGATAAAAATATAGAACAGATTCAATCAAATAACCTATCCATCACCTCATTTTTTGTGATAGGAACATTAAAAATTTATTTTCATCATTTTGAAGTATATCATTATCAACTCTGGCATCCACACAGTATAAGTGATCACCAAAATTTATTGTTCCATCTTATTTCCATTATACCTATTTATTTTATCGATAAAATAAAGGTGAGAAACTTGCCCCAGCAGTTCAAGATAAAAGCAAGTTTGGAACCCTGCCAATCTAATAGTGTGAAAAGATAAGGAGACCATATTCCAGAAATATTGATCCTTTAGCCCAACTGCAATGACTCTTTTTGGAAGCCTATGTATTAAAAATGTGGAGAAGTGCCCCAAGTCAGCCCAACATGTTCGTACATTCTGCAGTGAAACTTCTGCTCCCACCTCCCACCGTGACCATCATAAACTAAAGCAAGCTGTGACCAGCTGGGCAGTGCTTGTAAGAAGACCCATGGGACATTCTGGGTCATCGAGTTCCCATTTTGAAAACCCCTTCTGCTCCAACAAATGCCAGTGACAGAACAGATGGAACCAAGTGGTAAAACCAAGAAAGGCATAGCCAAGTTTAAGTACAGGATAAACTTCATGGACCTGACACCAGATGAGACTGCAGCACAGGGGATCAAATCAGGTGCGAGTGTATCACGAGGCAGGCTGAGAAAGAAAAGGATGCCCCTCAGTGTCATGGGCAGACTTGGGACCCATTTACTACTGCATTCAAATTACTCCACTTACGAGAGTGAGCTCTTATGGAATGAAAGATCATTGACATTACATATGCCATTTTTGAGATCCATTTTAGATCAGACAGCATACAGAAGAAAACTGTCAAATTGGGAACTCTGCTGGAATGCTACACAAATATGAAAAATTAAAAGGATGGGTGGATAGAATAAATAACCCCAGCCTGCACAGATCACAGGAGAAGAAAGTAATGGTAGTGAAGCAATTTCTGAAGAAAGAATCATTGAGCATAAAAATTATTCAAAATAAATTCGGCTCTATGGCCTGGGTGTTTCATACTGAAATGGCACTAAGTCAAAAGACACAAGGATGATCCTCAAGGCTAGTAGAGGCTATGAACAAGTTACTTTGACAATTAAAAGAAGCCAGAAGACTTTTTCCTATTTGTTGGTCTCCTTATTTTAAAAAGGCTATTAAACCATTGACTAGATTGTAAATTAAAAGTATCTTATCTCAAAAAATATCAAATTGAAAGACATTTTAAAAGGTAGACAATGGAGTGATTATCTTCAAAGACCTTACAGATCCTCACTACAGAATCATTTACTTTAGCAAAGAAAAGCAAAAAACTCTAAGAAACATGCTGGTATACAACTGGTATTTTATGTTAAATCCTTGATCATAAATAGAATGGAAATATAACTTTACCTACATGTTTCCATATGAGAATTCATTTATTTAGTGCCTTAAAAACTTAAGGTCTGGAGCTGCTGTTGTAGCATAGTGTGTAAAGCTGCCAGCATCTCATATGGGCACTTGTTCGGGCCCAGCTGCTCCACTTCCAATCCAGGTCCATAGTAATGCACCTGGAAAAAGTAGCAGAGGATGGCCCCAGTGTTTGTGACCCTGTCACCTATACAGGAGACCCTGAAGAAGCTCCTGGCTTCAACCTGGCCCAGCCCTGGCCATGTGGCCCTCTGGGGAGGTAACCACGGATAGAAGATTTCTCTGTCTCTCCCCCATTCTTTCTAAATTAAAAAAAAAAAAAAGAAAAGAAAAAACAAGCTTAAGGTTTATCACTAAAGGAATGAGGAAAACAGAGATGTTGGAAACAAAGATAAAAGCAAAGAAAATGAAGGGAAAAATGCAAAATAATATATTCAAAATAATTCAAACATCACTATTTTTAAATAGATTCAATTTGCCTTTTAACAAAATCTAAAGCAAATTATCATACTGAATTTTTTTTTTATCTAGGAAATACAGAACTCTGAAAACCCGATATACTCATAGATGAACTTATTTTTAGTGGACAGGGCAAAATTTTGATTAAATGGTAACATTTGATCTGATATATAAAATGCTGCTCAGCATGGATGCTGGGCCTAGCTGTGACATCTCTGATTAGGGCATCTGAGTTCCTTATCCGAGTGTCTGCTTTCAAGTCTTGGCTCCACTCAAAATTCCAGTCTTCTGGCTAATATGCACCACAGGAGGCACCCAGAGATGGCCAAGGTAGTTCGTCCCTGCCACTTGTATGTTAGACCTGCAGAGTTCCTGGCTCCTGGTTTCTTCCCAGCCCAGTCCCAGACATTTGAGGAGTGAATCAGCAGACCCAGGAACTCTCTTGCAAGTAAAAAAATTAAGCCTATCATTTTCAAATTCCTAAAAGTCTTACCTTGTTATCAGAGAATGTGGTCTGTATTTAAATTAGAAACAAGCAGTAAAATGGTAGCCAATAAAACCCGACACTCTTGGAGATTTCTGAATCCAAGACTGATAATACTCTTGGCTTACTCAGTCTAACTTGAGTTGCAGAACGTGTTATGACAGATTACTTGGATAATGAAATCAGAGACAGCCATTGATGTTCAAGAAAGGTATTATGGCATTCCATTTTGCGTCTATGTATGAGAAAAGGAAATAGCCCAAGTTTTTTTTTTTTTTTTTCAGTAGAGTACATAAATAAATCCTTCCTGGATCAAGAAACCTTTATCCTAACTCTCTCATTCTGCCTAATTTCTTGAGGACAATAGGCATCACATTTTTTTGTAAGCTCCATTTTTGAATAAGAACTCATGAACAAGAACGATCAAAAAAACATATTGCAACTGGAGAATTATCAGATATATACTACAGAAAAGCTATGTTGACTATGTCTAAGGAAATCGAGAAAAAGTAAGATAGCTTGAAAAATTGATAAACAATACAAATAAGCCTGTTTTATTTGAAAAGATACCAAATAGGACATTAAGAAACATGTACTATAAGTTTCAATGGTTGGCTTGATAGGAAATTGGAAACATCGAAGAATTATGAAATTGGTCAACAGAAATGAACCAGAGGAAATATGAAAATAAAAGATAGACAAAGAAGAATGACCGTTGGAAAGACCTAATGTACATTTGATTAGAATCTCAAATAGCACTAAGGAAATGAAACAAGGTAGGGTAGCTGAGACTTGATCCAGGCATTGCAGGAGATGACTTTACCTGCTGTGCCACGTACCTGCCCCAGATGCTGTAGGTGATAGATTTCCTTCTAAGGAGTAACACATAAAGAGATTGCTTAACTTCTCAATAGCAATAATGGAAGCCAGAAGACAGCGCAATGTATCTCAGATATGCTCCAAGAAAACAACCCAAACAAGAATTTTGTATCCATTGAAGCATTGCTGGAGAATGTGTCGCCACAAAAGCAAGTTTCTTAAGGATGTACTGGAAGCACAAATAAAGATGTCAGATGGAGGGGCCAGAGTGCAATGAGAAATGAAGGCATGAAAAGTCCTACACATCTAAACACATCGTCGTGAATATTGGCCATATTAAACACTAACAATGACATACTGTACTTCTATCATCTTTGAAAATCACACAAGTATCAGTATAAGAAGCTAAACATATGCAATGAAAAAAATCTGATTTAAAAATAGCCAAGTGAGGGGAATACACACAAATGATCTACAGTATGTATGAAGATATCAACACCCCTAGTCATCAGGAAACTGCAAAGTGAAGTACAAGGAGACAGCATCGTACTCAGAATGGTTTTGTCAAAAAAAAAAAAATGTCATTTGAGAGAAAGGGGATGTGAATGTAAATTAGTACCACCATTAGGGCAAATAGAAATTTCTCAAAAAAAAAAGAAAAGAAAAGAAAACTAGAGCTATCATATGATCCAGCTATCTCACCATTGCATATTATCAAAGCATGGAGCAAACAGCTACCTGCACTCCTGTGTGCATTGCGCCACTATTCACTGTGGCCAGCATATTAGCTCACCCGTGTTATCTATCAATGGGTAAATAAAGGTAATGTACACAGGTATGTTATTCATACAATTGCTGGACAGGACATGGAGAAAAGGGAACCATTTCACACAGCTAGTGAGAATGTAGATTATTGTAGCCGCTGTGAAAACCAGTAGGGAGGTTCCTGACAAAACTAAACATGAAACCCCCCTATGATGCAGCAATCCTACTAGTGGATGTCTGTCAAAAGGAAATGAAACTTCTGTCCCAGAAACATTACCACATGCAACTTTACTGTAGCACAACTCACAATAGCCCAGAAATGCAAACAACCTGTCTTCATCCATTAATAAATGGATAAAGAAAATGTGGTGTATGCACATGATGAAATACTACTCAGCCATAAAAAAGAATCTTGTCACTTCTGACACCATGGATGAAGCTGAAGGTCATTACCTGAAGTGGAAGAAGCCAAGCACTGAAAGACGAGTTCTGTTCCTACATACAGTCTCAAGAAGTTGAGTGTCATGGTGGGTGCCAGAAGTTGGGCAGAGGAATGCAAGCAGGAGTAAACATTCCTATTGTTACTATAGGTAGAAACATACTGTCTACTGTCCTTTTGTTTTTAAGGAAATAAGTATTTGGAGCAGGGTCACGCTAAAGAAACAGTAAGTGACTAAGGAAATAGATGTGTTTACCTTGATTGGGTAATGTACACATCCTATGATACCAAATTTTTAAATGAAGCCATTGCCATAAGCCAGGTGACCAGATGGCCCAGTCACAGGTGTCAGCTTCATCCACCCCACCCTAAAGGGAGTTGCTGCTCCTATTTCCCCTGCCCCTGCAGAGGTATGATAGCACCTGCTTCCCACACACATGTCCTCCTGATTCTTCTTTTACTCTCTCAGCATGGCCCGTCAGGCTTCCCCCACCCAACAATAAACCTTTCCTTAAAAAAATTTAAATTATTACTTTAACTTTTATTTAATGAATATAAATTTCCAAAGTACGACTTATGGATTACAATGGCTTCCCCCCATACCATCCCTCCCACCCACAACTCTCCCCTTTCCCACTCCCTCTCCCCTTCCATTCACATCAAGATTCATTTTCGATTATCTTAATATACAGAAGATCAGCTTAGTATACATTAAGTAAGGATTTCAACAGTTTGCTCCCACACAGAAACATAAAGTGAAAAATAATAGATGATTATTTTTAAATGATGATGAAATCAGATCAGACCTATTGTCATGTTTAATCCCATTGAGAGTCAAGTTGGGAATTGATATATTTTTTTTTACAGAAGATCAGTTTAGTATGCATTAAGTAAAGATTTCAACAGTTTGCACCCCCATAGAAACACAAAGTGAAATATACTGTTTGAGTACTCGTTATAGCATTAAATCTCAATGCACAGCACATTAAGGACAGAGATCCTACATGAGGAGTAAGTGCACAGTGACTCCTGTTGTTGACTTTACCAATTGACACTCCTGTCTATGGCATCAGTAGTCTCCCTATGCTCCAGTCATGAGTTTCCAAGGCTATGGAAGCCCTCAGTTCTCCGATTCTTATCTTGTTTAGACAAGGTCATAGTCAAAGTGGAGGTTCTCTCCTCCCTTCAGAGAATGGTACCTCCTTCTTTGAAGACCTGTTCTTTCCACTGGGATCTCACTCACAGAGATCTTTTGCCAGAGTGTCTTGGCTTTCCATGCCTGAAATACTCTCATGGGCTTTTCAGCCAGATCCGAATGCCTTTAGGGCTGATTCTGAGGCCAGAGTGCTATTTAGGACATCTGCCATTCTATGAGTCTGCTGAGTATTTTATTACTTTTTTTTTTTTTTTGACAGGCAGAGTGGACAGTGAGAGAGAGACAGAGAAATGTCTTCCTTTGCCGTGGGTTCACCCCCCAACGGCCAGCGCACCGCACTGATCCGAAGGCAGAAGCCAGGTGCTTCTTCTGGTCTCCCACGGGGTGCAGGCCCCAAGCACTTGGGCCATCCTCCACTGCCTTCCCGGGCCACAGCAGAGAACTGGCCTGGAAGGGGGGCAACTGGGACAGAATCCGGCACCCCGACCGGGACTAGAACCCGGGGTGCCAGCGCCGCTAGGTGGAGGATTAGCCTATTGAGCCGCGGCGCCGGCCTAAATTATTACTTTTTAAGGTTTCAAATGACCTTTCTTAGAAAATGGAATTAAAATTATGAGCTTCCTTTGGTGCCAGAAACAATGCTGCAAAAAATCCTTCACGATCAACAGGAAAGGTGTATGATGAAAGCGGTGCTGGGATGTCAAAACTTCTTTTGTGCCAAGATAAATAAATTCATACCCTATCTCCCTCTTGACAAAGTTTGTGGAAAATGGGATGAACAGTTAAAATAGGATAAAGGTCTTGGGCATTTCAAAAAGAGGGAATGATCCTCACAAACTTGGCACAATACTGTGTCAACTCCCAAAGAACAGAGATGGTACATCTAACTCCCCAGTGTAGGGAGAGAAAATCAAGTTATGCAGTTATGCAAGTTTCAAAGACAAGAGCAGAGAAAGAGAAGCACAAAGCAGCCAAAGTAAGCCTAGAGAAATTAAGCCTAGAGAAATGAACACCACACTGCTTTGAAAATAAGCCCTTGCCTCATCGGGGAAAAATAGGCTCACCACACACATCACACTGAAGGGGATACAGAAAAGCCACACAAAGTGTCCTTTTTCTCTAACCTTTAGAAATAAGCTATCTGGGAAGTTTAGATTAGTGGAAAAACTGCAAAGAACAGCATGGAAATTACTCCCCATGTCACAGGTGAGGCAGAAGTTGCGGGGCAGGGGAGGGGTCACCTGGCTATTCCTTACACTGCCCCCTTTTTACAATGTTTCTCTGCATGTTGGGCCTGGTAGTGTGAATGCTGCCTCCTGAGTTACCTGCACTTTCCCAACCCTTCCTCCTCCTTTCTCCACAGACCGTCATCCACGGGCTCGTCCTGCTAGGCAGCTTCCTCATGTACTTCGCGGTGTCCCTGCTGTACAATGCCGTCTGCGTCACCTGCAACAGCCCCACCAATCCCTACTGGGTGATGGAAAGGCAGCTGGCAAACCCTACGTTCTACCTCGTCTGCTTCCTCACACCTGCCGCGGCTCTTCTCCCAAGGTTTGAGTGCTATGGCCATTTCTAGAATTTCCAGTCTCCTGTTAATAAGCCCATCCCCCAGTTGTTTCCTCCCAATGGAGTCCTTGAGGCTACTGTTCCCAAGACAAAGGAGAAAGACCCAGGAACCCAGGGAAAGAGACTATGGACACTGGTCTCAGCTCAGTCCCAGGGCACCCGAGTCTCCCAACCTGGGATAGCTTCAGCGGTGACCTCTGTGAAATCAGAGTACTAATTCCTAACCTCCCCCCATCATTGCCACAGGAAAGGTTGAAGCATTCTGGAACTTTACCGTATCCCAGAAATGTCAATCTTGCCTGCATAGTCTACTGGTCAGTTTAATGTGTTTAAAACACACACACTTAACATACGAAACCCGTGTTAGCCAAGTCAGTCCTCCACGCTCATGGGATGTCTCTGCCACCTTCAACCTCAACTCTTTTCACCTTTTCCAGATAACCTTAGCACCAATCATGCCTTGCCTTTCATTTTACCTCTGTGAGCTCCAAATGAAGCCCAAGTGTGTTTCTAGTCCCACTTGTGCATGGGACAAAGTCAAGAGGCACCAGAACGTGCCCACAAGTTCACCACAGTCGGAGAGCAAGATGCTCCCTGTGCCGGGGCCAGCTTAGGCTCTCCAGTGTGAGCAGTTGGTGAATCTGATGACGATATGCCCACAGGCAAGATTGCACTGCCCTCCCTTCTCTGGCCACTTTATCATAATAAGCTGTGATCAACACTTCCACATGGCACAGAACTCTGGGTGTCCCAGAATTAGGCAGAGAGCACCCACAGTGACCCTGGCTCCCTGCGTAAGCTTGGTGCTATTCAGTCTATTCTGGCATCTGTGTCCTTCTCCTGAGCCTCCTCTCAACACTGACGTCTGCTGCAGAGTCCAAGGAGGAAAATACCAAGCCGGCAGATAGCATTGCCCTGAAGAACTGAGAGTGCAGAGCAGTGACAAACCCAAGGGGCAGTGTTGTGGCACAGCATGTTAAGCCACCACCTGTGCTACTCACCCCCACATCAGAATGCCCATTCAAGTCCCAGCTGTTCTTCTGATGTGGCTCCCTGCTAATGCACCTAGCAAAGCAGTAGAAGATGGTCCATGTACTTAGGCTCCTGCCACCCCCATTGGAGATCTGGCTGGTATTCCGCCTTTCAGCCTGGCCCAGTTGAATTGGTTATAGTCATGTGGGGAGTGAAACAGAGGATGCAAGTTCTCTCTCTAGCTCTCCTTCCCTTTCATTCTGCCTTTCAAACGACATAAATTTAAAAACACAAGCCTCAGGGTACATATGTCCCTCTCCACCCTATCTTTCCCTTCTCCAGCCCTACCCCTAGAAAGAAGGGCCCTCGCAGGGGTCATGAGAATCATGCTGACAATGCAAAGGGACATCTAAGGTGTGTGTTATTTCTGTCCCCACTTGGGAAGTCAAGCATGTTGTGATCACCACTGGCCCAGCACTACACTCCTCTGTTCTTCATCTTATGTGGGGTATGGAAGGAGTCATATCATTTATCTCTGCTTAAAGTAACATCCTTGGAGCCAAGGTCAGCGAGGCATGCCCCATTCCAGCTGTGGAACAGATGTGGGGACATTGGGAAAAATTAGCAGTTATTTGATGGTTGCTGTAACATGTAAGTTAAATCTTTGCTTATTCTATAGTAAAAGTTAGATTTCTATTCAATTCTGTTCACTCAGAAAGGCAAAGTGATTGTCTCTGATAGTAACATGATTAATACTTCTACAGATTGACTGTAACCATGAGCAATTGCTGTTTGTATATAGAAATCTACATGATAGGATGTTTGCTGTAGAAAAGTGTGTTCACTTAAAGTTATAAGCTGCATTTATTGTAATAGAGATCGATGTTGCTCATCAAGCTTATGATAATTAGCCCACTAACCATGACCTCAGTTAAGCTTGGTCTAATTCATGCAATCAATATAAAAGGACAGCACAAAACTCTTAAACTAGAAACCGAAGTACTCGTAAATTATCTCAGCTGAGACAAAAGTCCCCAACACACTGATGATACAGCACAGCTTCTTGCCTAGCTGCAATGTAGTATAACAGTCTCTGGAAAGCCACCGAAGCCAAGGGAAGGGTGCCAGGCACAGTCCTGTGTTTTGTTGTTTCCCTACATTTCCTCCTTTCTGTCCTTTGCTGACATGGTGCATGTTCACCCTTGGCCCTAGGTTTCCGCCATAACCATGGCCCTCACTATTGTGGATTTAGAAATCATTTTTAGCCAATCAGTCTTCACTCTACATTCCTAAGCCAAACCCCTTATCTGACTTCCAGGTGCATCTTTCTAATAACATATTCGTTATCTGCACCGGGAAGATTAAGGATGAGGACAATGAGACGTCTCTAACGTACTTCATGATTCCATCCTGCATCTCCACCCACCTTCTCAGAAACCTGCTCCTGTCACAGTGCTACCCCAGGACCAACAGAGACCTATGGGAGCCATTCTTCACGTTACCTGTATTTTTTTTTTTTACAACAGGCAGAGTTAGACAGAGAGGGAAAGGTGTTACTTTTTCCCGTTGGTTCACCCCTCAAGTGGCCACTAGGGCCAGAGCGTTGCAGCCGGCACACTGCGCTGATCCGAAGCCAGGTGCTGGGGCCCAAACACCTGGGCCACCCTCCACTGCCTTCCCAGGCCACATCTTGCCTATCACCAAGTTCTGGCACTTCCACCTACTATGGATTTCTGAAACCCATCTTTCTCCACTTCTACAGCTGTTACCACAGATAGGCTATAACCCTTTCACCCTACATTACTACAGTTGTCTGCTACTTGGTCATTTATCGTTGTCCATTATAAAGATGTGCTCATCTTGCCTACTTATCACTATCTGAGGGCTTTCCAATACCTGTACAGGAAATCATAAAAACAGACCTGTGGCCCACTGTCCTAACTTCTCTGTTTCTCCCATACCCTTTGGGTCCTAATTTCCCTGCTCTACATGTTTCCCATTGCAGCCGAGTTTGGGTTCTCACCCACTTTGCCTACCGACCTCCATCAACCTCAGTCCTCAGCTTAAGTATATATTTCTCAAGGAAGACATCCCAGATAAGAGCAGGTGTTCAAAAAATCTCTTTTGCCCCATCCATTTATAACTAGAAGTGTCTGTCTTGTTCACAGCTTACTCCCTTAGGTACTTGCCCCTCGTGGACACTTGGGTAGTATTTGTTGGTAGCAAGCATGGAGAAGAGATTAAGTAAGATTCCAGTTTCCAGGCAAGAAGTCCAGTCTGTCCAAAACTTTCTACCCCACTGGGTGACTTGAGAAAAAATTGGAAAGATTCCATGAGATCGCCTATAGCCCTGAGACCCCTTGCACACAATGGAAGAGTGAGGGCCTCTCTGAAGGGTCATCTTTTTTAGATTTTTAGAAACAAAGAGACCTTAGATCTTGAGGAAACTAAAACCTAGAGATGGGGTGGGGTGGCAGTTGCCCAGTGTCCCATGCCTTCCCCACATTGCTGCATGTACCTTCTCACCCCTTCCTCTGCCTCAACTGCAAACAGCAAGGAGATTCCAGCAGACAGAAACTCCAGAACCCAGAGCCTGTCACAGGCTACCTGCAGCTCAGCAGTCAAAGAACCCTGGGTTGGTCGACAGGGAGATCTGTTCTTATGAGACCACAGGAATATCACCTCATCACTCCAGCAAGTAGTGACAAAACAGTGACACTGGCAACTCAGCCTGGCACACAGATCCAAGGGAAGAATGCAGATTTAGTAACTACTTTACAGTGAAGCTGCAGCGAGTTGTCTAATTTAGAGTAGCACTGAAACAGCAAGGATTGCCCTGTGCGTCGTAGATAAGAAACAAGGCCCGGGATCTAGAGTCCAAGTTCTGACCACAGGTTGACCACTCCATCTCTCCTCATCTGCACACAGAAGAGAAACCTAAGTATGGTCACATGTGGCCTAACAAGGGAAATACATAGCGAGAACTGTGTTGTTAGGCAGTCTGTCATTGTACCAGCATCATGGAGTATTCTTAAACTATGGGGATGCAATATCACAAGGCATATCATCTTTTGGACCCATGATCCATCATTGTGCAATTATGCAGCACATGGTTATACCAATTGCATAGGGTTACTGGGAGAATGAAGTGAGTTAATACACAAAGCACTCAGAATAACCCTCATACATAATGTTAGCTAGTTCATTTGGTGGTGGTTCAGCACCCCGACATCAGAGGTGCCCAAGCATACCTTTGATAAGCGTCACAAGTACAAGGATAAAGAACTTGGCTTAGAGGTGCAGACTTGGATTCTCAGGCCCCCTTCAATGCTAAAATTCCAAAAACCAGCCCGTATTTTTATTTTTCTGTTTTCTCCCAGGTACTTTTTCCTGTCTCTACAAGGAACCTATGGGAAGTCTCTGATCACAAAAGCTCAGAAAATTGACAAACTGCCCACCGACAAAAGAAACCTGGAAATCCAGAGTTGGAGAAGCAAACAGAGACCTGTCCCTATCCCTAAAGCAGCTCGGCCCGCCCAGCATCCAGTGCCCCCTGTCCCAGAACAGAGCTTCCGGAGCAGCACTCCAAAGAGCCCTTCTAAGCAGAAGCACGTTGAGGACTGGGTGTTCCACGGACAGAGAAGCAGCACGGCACATACGATGGATGACCCGTGCTCGGGGGACTCCTCAGCCAAACCCTCCTCTGGGGAGCACCTGCTGGGGCCTAACAGGACAGCGCTTCCTGGAGCCTACATGGCCGGACAGACGGGTAGGTCCCGGCACTCCAGCAGGAGCAGCCATCGCCGATCCCAGAGTTCCCTGACCATATGAGGGGAGTGAAGACAACTTGACAAACTAAGAGGCCACCCCCATCACTGCTCTGGGTACCTCGTGACCCCTCCTCTTCAGAGGAGAGAACATGCTAGTCTGGTTTCTTCCCACTGGGCTTGCCTTCCTTCTGGGAAGCCCTTGCCGCAAGGAGTTTTGACAAAGTAGAATGGGAAAACTCGAGGGCCTCTAGTTTTCTCCAGCTGCCAGGCAGCATATCTTGCAAAGCACAGAGTTTTTAATAAGGAGGCTCTGTTTCTGTGGCATTGAGTGCTCACATTTTTGATACCCACGTTTCTGACAGTTTCCACCAGTACAGCCTGTAACGCAACGCAACCAGACCACACGATTCCATGAAGTCTATCAACCTAGTCAACATCTCAGGGTACAGAAGTTTCCAGGCTTGTCAGCCCTTCATCTCACGCCGTCAGTGCCAAGAATTCAAGTTTCTGAGCCACCGGTGCTCACAGGGCCTCCTTGCACTCGTGGTCAAGTCGGGTCTGCTGTTTGTCTCTGGGCCAAAAGAAAACTACATCTAAAGAGGAAAGCTAGGTATGACCCCTGTGACATGTCAGAGTGGGAGCGTCACAGCAAGCATCCTGCAGGGCATGGGTACACCAGAGAGTCCTGGTGATGGGCCGTATGTCCCACAATCTGGAGAATCTGCCACGAGGACACAGGCGGCATTCTTCTTGAAAGCTATTTATTTTATTTATTTTTAATTAGAATTGCCATCCTCCACTCCAAAGAAATCTCTAAGGCCAGGAGATCTTAGTGCATCTGCACCCAGAATAGGCCTGTATGATATAGTAACTCTAAGGTGGCATTTGGGGGGGGGGTGCTTAAAGCATTACACCTCATTCATTCAAGTTACCCTAGAATACTACCACCTGGAAGCCACTGGTACATGCTTACATTAGAGTCGAGGAAGTCTCAGTTCACAGGGAAAAGGAAGATCAGAGACATCCCATCCATAGAAGTCATAAATGCAAACTGTAAAAGAACTCCAACATTGTATAAATAAGCAAATGAATGATAGCATATAGCATTACAATAGGCTATCAAAAGAAATGGAGGTTGACCAGGCAGCCTAGCCCTAGGCTTCTTTAAGGGAAGTCAGGAACAGTTTCCTGAGCCCTCCTGTCTTAAGCGAATGCCTGTACATTAGGTAAGAAGCATAGGGACCCATGCAACAGGAGTGACAAGGCTTGAAGCCCAAGAATCATTGCCACCAGCTGTGAGTTGGCCTATCACTTGAGTACGTCCTCAGCCAAGGTGCCCTAGGTGCTCAACAAACAAGCTGGCCACTGGCAGATTGAACTGGCCCTTTGACCATCCGCCTAGAAAACCTGGATGGCAGAGGTCACTGGGATTTTCATCCCAAAGCCAATAAACTAGCTCTCTGACCACTGTGCCACGTAATCATGCTGGCACCTGCCAGGGGAAGCCTACATGAGAATTGCTGAAGGAGGAGCAGCTAAGTACACCCAGCAAAGCAGGTGCGATGTGAATGTTTCCAAGTAAGGGGATTCAGGCAAAAGTTGGAGCTCAGAGCCCTCCCTCGATTTTTTAGGACAGAGGATGGACTCAAGAGATTAAAGTGTGAGTCTTTGCTCTGCCCCCATGCTCTCTCTTAGGATCCAGGAGCGCTGAAGTAGAACGTCACACCTGCAAATTAGCTTAGAACTGCCCTATCTCCCAGGCTTGACAGAGGATCAAGTCAAAATTACATAAAATCCAATGGTGAAAATCCTTCGACAGCTGTAAAACCTTCAGTAATAACGCTATACACTTCATCTGAGAGCCAAGTAGAAAAGAACTGCTCGGAAAAGTACAAGAATGCCTGATGTCTGCACCTAAGTGCTCAACTATATCCAATATGCCAATGCTGCCTCTTTTTTTTTTGGCATACAGTCCTAGGACTGGGACTTGTTCATTTTAATAAATCCTGTATCCTGGGAAAGTGGTACAACCGGTCACCTACTCTTGCCCATTTTTGTAAACCAAATCAACTATGACCATCGTAAGTACCATCTTACCCAGGGAAAAGTTAAAACAATTTCCCTGTAACCATGCTCGTGATTGTGCTCAGTACATTTTTATACTTTTGTGATCTTACTGATTGTTTTTAAGGAAAAAAAAAATAAACATGGTTTTCCATAGCTGCCTGCCCGTTTGCAGTTATTATTCTCTCTTCAAGTCATTATCACTGGTTCTGAGTATTTTTTCGTACATTCTTCCATTTTCCTGTGCATTCATTTACATATCAATTCATCTGTCCAGTAAGATTCTGTTAAGACCCTACTTGATGCCTGGAAAATGTGATAGGGGTAGAAAGGAAATCAATCCCTGTCTTAGAGCTCCGAGCTTTGTTGGGCACCTCCCCAAGCACACAGCATCCAGAACAAGCAGGGGTCTTGAAAGTGTTCATTAAAGCGCATGCTATTAAAACACTATCCTTCGATTTAAAAAATTTTTCAACTAAATTTCTTACTAAGTCCTCTGGTATTCAGCCAAGGATAAGAGTGTGCTACAATAAAAAGGCTAAAGAATTAGAGGTTGCACACACCATCTGCAAATCTAACATGGCTACTCTTCCTGGAGACTGATACCAACCTCCAAACAAAGATTGATTTAGGTGCTCTCTGCAAAAATTATCAATGGAGTGCCTGCTGTTCACAACAGTGGTACACAGCAAGATGTAACTAAGGAACAAAAATAGGACGCACTCCTGCCCTCAAGGGACTGATGATTTATAAGGAGAAACAGGTAATAGTCAAGGAAACCAGGAATGTGCTTTTCTGCACGGTACTAGGAAGAATAGAAAGGAAGGCAGGAGAGCAGAGCTCAGCATGGTCAGAGAAGGCCTCTCCATGGAGACTTTTCAGCTGACACAATAACTATCCTGGGGAGTTCAGTACAAAACCCCTGAAAAGGGAACATGAATTGGTATGTTTGATGCAAAGAAAGGTGCTCTGTATGGCTGGAACCCAGCAAACAAAACGAGATGATGTTAGTCCTAACAAGTTACTGACCTAAGCGTACATCACGCACACCTTGTGGTAACCCCACCAGGTACAGCTATGATTCTCCCCTATTTCTGTTAACGTCTGCTGTGTCACAAACCACCCCAAACCTTAGGTTCACACAGCCATCAGTTCTGTGCTCAGGACGCTGTGAACGCTACATCTGGGCTCCACCAGCACACGTCCCCACTGCTCCACTGTGTCCACTGAGCTTGCTTCTGTCTGGGGCCTTGGCTGTGCATCACTAGAGACTCTTTCCACACGGCCTCCCCTCCTCAAGGAAGCCAGCCCAACCGTGTCACAGGGCAGCAACATTTGCAGACTGAACAGAAGCCGCTTTCAAAACACTAAGCACAGAACTCGCACATCATCATTACCCACCACGTGCTATAGAAGCAAGTCACAGGCCAGTTCAACTTCAAGGGTATAGAAAATATACTCCCCCCCCCCTTTCTTTTTTCAGATTTATTTGAGAGGCAGAAATAGTTCCCATCTGCTGAGTCACTCCCCACATGCCCACAATAGCCAGGACCATGCCAGCACCAAAGCTGGAAACCCAACCCAGGTCTCTGAAAGAGGGGGTAGGAACCCAATCACCTGGGCCCTCACTGCTGCCTCCTAGGCTGTGCACTGGCAGTAGTATCGGGAACCAGAACTGGGAATTGCACCCAGGCAATCTGATGGGGGAGGGGGTGTGTCAGCTAGTATCACCTGCTAGGTTAAATGCCCTCCCCAATTCCAAGGATAAATTTTTAACTTTCAATTCTTTAAAAGGCAGAGAGACAAGGCCAGCATTGTGGCAGAGTGAGTAAAGCCACTGCCCACCATACCAGTATCCCATATGGGCATTGCTTCAAGCCCTAGATGCTCTATTTCCAATCCAATTCCCTATTAAAAGCCTGGGCAAAGCACCAGAAGATGTCCCAAGTGCTTGGGCCCCACCCATTCGTGTGGGAGACCTGGAAAAAGTTCCTGCTTCGGGACTGGCCTAGCCCAGTTCTGGTCATTGCAGCTATCCGGGGAGTGAACAAGCAGATGGGAGATTCCTCCCTCCCCGTCTCTCTCCCTCCCCCTCCCCCCGTCTCTCTCTCCCCCGTCTCTCTCTCTCTCTCCCCGTCTCTCTCTCTCTCTCCCCGTCTCTCTCTCTCTCTCCCCGTCTCTCTCTCTCTCTCCCCGTCTCTCTCTCTCTCTCCCCGTCTCTCTCTCTCCCTCCCCGTCTCTCTCTCTCCCTCCCCGTCTCTCTCTCTCTCTCCCCGTCTCTCTCTCTCCCCGTCTCTCTCTCTCTAGCTCTGACTTTCAAATAAATCTTTAAAACACAATAAAATGAAAGAGAAAGTCAAATCTTCTACCTGCTAGTTCACTATCCAAACACAACAGCTGGCATTTGGCCATGCCAAAGCCAGGAGCTCCATCTGTGTCCCCCACATGGATGGCAGGGCTCCCACCACTGAACTATCACCTGATGTCTCACACAGGGTGTGTATTACCAAGAAGCTGGAATCAGAAGCAAACTCAAACCCAGGCACTGCAGGTAAAGACAGCGAGCGAGGTCATCCATCCATGGATTTACTCTCCTAAATGGCCATAATGGCTGGGGCTAGGCCAGATCGAAGCCAGGAGACAGAAGCTTCTTTTGGGTCTCCCACTTGGGTGCAGGCACCCAAGGACTTGGACCATCATGCACTGCTTTTCCAGGCACATTATCAGGAATCTGGCTCAGAAGTGAAACAGCAGGGACTCAATCCAATGCCCAGATAGCATGCCAGCACTACAGGCCTTCACCACTATACCACAGCACCAGGGTCCCCCAAGAAACATCCTAACCGTTAAGCCCAACATCTACCTCCCGACTCCACCTTTTAAATGGGAGGAGCTATGAAAAAAATTTGAGGCCATTGGCAACCTACCACATTCCCATTTCCAAAAGAAGCAAAAACAAACACAGCACAGTCCCACAGTCAAGAAGTGTCAAGGAGTCTGTTGAATCCCAGAGCCTCAAGCCAGATTCTGTGCCCTTAGCCACAGAGCAACACTGCGAGCTGAGACTGCAGGACTCACAGGCACTGGACAAGAGGGTCTCACCTTCCCGACATTCTCTTGACAGTGATCAAGGATTCTGCATTTTATCCCAACATTGCACAATCTGTCAGTGACCTGGCCAGAGGCCACACCACACCATGTCTGGCCAGGTTGTTCCCCAGATGAAAGATTCAGTAAGTAAGGAACATACTATTACCAAAAGAGAACCAGAACTGCGGTTCAGCACTACCTTAAAAATCTCTCCTCTATCTGCTCACCCAGCCAGACCTTCCAATGTGCACAGAGGCCCCAGGAGCAACTGACTGCACAGAGGGAATCCTCCCAGGCAACCCAACAAAATACCACCCCCCCGCACCTCCCAGGACACCTGGGACGCAGGTAAGAGTCCACTGATAAAGGAGCTGGGGCAAACCCCAAGATGGCAGGCCTTTTGAGAGCACCGCCCAAGGAGTACTGCCAGCCCCAAATTCAGGGTTTGGCATTTTCATACAGGAGCCAAGCCTGGAAGCCTTTTGTTCAAAGGCGTTCTTGTGCCACCTAGCATCAGTAAAGGAGATGCCACACCTGAGGGTTCTTCCTGCAGACAAGCAGGGAAGACAAGACAGCAGCCAGGGGGCAGAGGCCGGGTTTTGAGTCCAAGTCCTCGGGGTGTTTCCATGCCAACTCTGAACAAATCCCTCTCTCCAGGTTCCAACCTCAAACTGAAATTCATCTGTTTCCCCAAACCTCTAGGTGGGAACTGGACTTCTAACATGCTTCGATTCTAGAAGCTGTTGGAGGGGGCTGCTTACATTGTAGCAATGACCTTCAGTGTCCTGCAGGCCTTGTGATTTACTATTCCTTCTTTAATGTCTATTTATTTGAAAGGCAAAGAGATGGGGGAGTGGGACAGACAAACAGAAGAGATATTTCTCAATTGACAGTTTATTCTCCAAATATCTGCAACAGCCTGAGCTGGGTCAGGGCAAAGCCAGGAACCAGGAACTCCATTTGCATCTTCCACATGAGTGCTAGGGGCCCACTCTAAACATCACCTGCCACCTCCCAGGGTGCCCATTAGCAGGCAGCTGGAATAGGTAGTTGAGCTGGGACGTTAACCCTAACCCTAACCACTATAACAATGCCAGTCAGTCATTCATATTCTCTCTCTCTCCCTCTTACACACACACACACACACACACACACACACACACACAGACACACAGAGTAATCTCAAGAGGAAGTCACTGGGGAGTTCCTAGCACATCACAACACTTGACAATGTTGTGACTCTTGCTGCTGAAGAAAATCATAGGTGGAAGCTAATCTAAAAGGCAATGCGCAGGAGAATGGGAGAGCAGCAACCGTATTTGGGAAGACAATGGACTACTTCAGCCTTTTTGAGGCCGTCTGCTGCCTCTTGCAGATCAATAGCTGTTAAGGAACTGCAAACACCTAAGAAGTCAGGGCCGTTACCAGTTCCAATTGGCAGAAGGGAAGCCAGCTAAGACACCTCTTTCCTAAGGTGCACTCAGAAATGGGAGAGAGGACTTTGAGCTCCTGTGGTCTCCAGGAACACCTCCTCCCACCCAGCCCTCAACTAACCTGCTGTTTACCTTGCAAATAAGGCACCAAGTCCAGAGAACCCCCTTCCCAGTGCATCACTACCCCCAGACCCCTCCCCAGATTGCTTTCCTCAGTCCCCACTGTCGAGGGTCTGTTCTCTCTTGAAGACAAAGCCCAGCACCTCACAGGAAGACAGCAGCATCCCAAGAGCTGTCCACAGACCCCAGGAGAGCAAGGTAGACAAGCTGACCGCACCACTGACTCAGCACTGAAGAAATGGTTTTCTGCAACGGCAGGCAACGTCCCACCCCTGTTAACCTGTGTCTCCTCAAGATCAATGGAAGATATTCCTGCGTGTAAAATGTCACCATTTCACACAGATGATCAAACTCAGATGAGAGCTAAGTGGATGGGCCCAGGGCCACTCAACTACTTGGAGGCAAAGCTGGGATCAGAATCAATAACCCTCAACAGGGGCTCTGCAGCCACCTTATCAGCCAGAGATTAACCAGAAATCCTTTCCACAGCTGTCTGGCCATTTTAAAATAAGAAG